TCAGGGAGTTGCCCAGTTTCTCGACAGACGACATTGGATTCAAGTTGTGCAGAACAGATTTTAAAGAAAATATCTCTGTATTCTTTAGGGAGAAAATACTGCATATTTGCAAGAGTTTCTGAAGTCATAAATTTCCGCATTATTTGAATTGCAACAGTTTTAATTTCAGTGTGAAATGATCCCAAAATACTACTGTAACATTCACAGCTGAAGAGCCTAAAGCCATAAATGCTGTCATAGTTTTCCACACACTCCTTGAGGTGAAGATGAAGATGAAGATGCATATTTGGTGAAATTGACAATTCACCATATATTTTCTCATACTCCTTGAGAAAATGAAGCAGTTAACATTAAGTCAGTTTTAGTAATGCAAGATCTGCAAAGTAGACGGCATGCTAAAACAAAAGATTGCCAGTAATGAAGCTGGTTTTTGGGGAGGACATCTGAAAACAGAAGAACAAAGCTTTTCCACTGAGCAACTGGGTAACCACTATAGTTTGACTTAATATTCCCAGGTAGCCTTCCTACGTCAAATAAACAAGAGATATCTTCTCTTCTTTTTTTAATTGTTTCTAATCCGTCTTTTGTGATTATGTCATTTTCCATCCATTTAGAAAAAAACTCTTGCATAAATCAAATTCATCATTCAATTCATTTAAAGAAATAAATGGGATAAAGAATCTGTGGTGCTGTGTGGGTGACGGGTATTACAAGATAATTTGGTTTCATAATATTTCAATTGAGTTTACATGACTTCAGTTAAACAGAGAGCTAAATGGAGGCAACATGACTCGAACTGACATGGCAACGAAGAAACGTGACCTACATAAGGATATTAGATCTATTTAATAAGAAAACCCTGGTAATTCTTGTCTCCGTGATTATTCTAAACATGTTTATACATACCTCCATGGACAAATCCTTTGAAAAATATGATAAAAGAAGCTGAAAGAATGTAAGTTTGGTCATTAACACCAACGCACGTCTTAAGTACCTCGGTAAAAGGTTGGAACCACAGTTAAAATACTTAGGCGTCGCATCCTAAAGCTGGAGTAATAGTGCTTGGGAATACAACTGCTGTGAGGAAATATTGCATCTAAATTGACCTGCTATGGAAAGCTTTCTTTTTGGACGTTTCAACTGATCACTTGCTCAATTGGGTAACACTAATAACCTGCTGTTAGGCTCTCTTTTTACTGGGGAGTGCAATAGCGTAGCGAGGGAGGAGTCGTGCCTCCCAGGATGATAATCATCGGTAATTTCAGATACATGGAATTTACTTTTCATACAGCGTTTTTCCCTTTGATTGGATTTTTAAATTCGCGTTATCAGTCTTGCAGGTCGTCTTTGACATGGCCAATTAGAAAATTAGAAAAGTGCCTTTTATTAACATACGGCTAAGTAAACAATTAATATGATTTTTAAAAAGATTAGTATTTGTGAGTTTTCTCTTCTCATCCACTGACTGCTACAAAAGAGGGGGCACAAAACAAAGTCAGCTTTCCTAATCAACGTGTCTCATAATTTGATAAAATTTGCGTGGCATTTTTTTGCACGTTTTTATTTTTTATCTCGGTACCTACTTATTGTATAGTTTACGAAAAAACAGTTCAAATGGCTACGGTGATTCTCCTTGATACTTATCCGAAACGATATCTATTTTTTATAACATTAAATTGATTTATATGACTGGCATGCAGTCATCTTATCCAGGAATTAGCATTATCCATCTCCCTTCTTAATTTGCAGACTGATTCTTTATTGCTCAAATGATAATGGGGTTTTCAAACAGGACTATTTGTCACGATGAGCATTAAAAGAATTGAAGCGTTTAAGTGCTTCGATCAGCGCACATTCAACGAGCCAATGAAAGAGTTTTAGTTCTAGGGTAAAAAGCTTAATGTGTACACACACAAGGCTTATTGTTAACAAACTTTTATTAAGCTGACCGCAAGATGCACCGCTTTAAAAATGCAATGCTTGGAAGGAGTGCTTTCTTTTTTTTTTTGCCAATATTTCCTTCGTAAAAACTCTCGTTTGTCTCAGGTCAGAAGAAAAATTTTCTCTCCAATCGATGCTGGTCTATAGTTCGCAGAAAATATCAAACCATGGGCAGCTGTCCAAAAATTCGATATCAGCAATCATTAACCACCGAGCTGCAATCTTCTCGGCAAAGTGGCTCATTATATGGGCTATTTGGATACGTACCCTAAGTGGCCTAATAACGTTCAAGACGGCTGAGAAACCTCAGCAAATTGTTGTGGTAAGGAGCATGACTATGTTCTTCCTGTAACTCTTTGATGTGCAAACTGAAAAGAAGCAACTAAATTGCTGCTAGATTTCAGTGGCTAAGCGACTTGATGTGACTACAAGGCGACAGTTGTACGAGGTTACATGTCAGTTCCTTCTAGGCTGGCTGCTAACTGTACAAGTAGTTACGACATGACCTGATAGCTACATAGCTCCATCAGTACATGATCACCTGGTTGCCTAACCGTGTAGAATCGTTACTGCGTGACACCTGTACATCTGACTACAACTGAAGAGGGTTGAAAGGCTTCTGAGATACTAAACCACTCATACAAGAGACTTCTTTCTCACTTGGCTACTTGGCTGCCTGTTGCATGTTGCTACATGGATGCGAGGCTTCCGAGCTTCAAAGCTAACGTGCAGACTAGCACTTACAAACTTTTGAAAACTTGCAGCTCAGCTAAGTGGTAGCCCCGACCTGGCTAAAAGGCAACTTCAGAATGGGCAGAGTGTACAATCTACGAACCACACTAACGAGAGGTTTGAGCATGTGAATAAGCTTTGCATGGTTTCGTCCGGTCGCGTTCTTTCTTTTAACGTTCGCAGTGAAAACAGGTTGGAAAACATGACTAAGATTTCTGTTGGTCCTGTTTGTGGGAATGCTGATGGCACAAAGACAAACGTCTAAGTAACATAGAACCTGCAAAGTATTTTTGTCGAGAGGGCTGGGCTGACAGAGGAGTTATTCAATATTTGGAAAGAAGTGTGACATAGCAGCCTAAATCTGAATGCATCTGGATAATCACAGAGTAATAATTTTAGTTTGTGTTCAGTTAAGGAAGGAAAGCGGTGGCACTTTCTCAACGCGCATATAACAGGCCCAGAAAGTTTATTAGGACTCAGATGAAGAGTGAAAAAAATTATCGTAAGGAGTGATATTTTTTTCGGGACAAAATAGAAGCCAATCGCTCCGAAGTGTTGAACGGTTACAAGAGGTTGATACCAAAAGAATCAGGCATTTTGGAGGCTAAATAATTACTGTTACTCTCAACCATTTATACCCTAAGAGTGACTAGCATCTAATTTCTCCTTACAATATCGCTTCTGAATCGCACATTGAGGTCATGAGAATAAAGGAAATGATCAGCACCCCAGGAAATGTATAAAGAACAGTGTGGAGAAAATGCATATTGATGCTCGGGTATAAGGGGTTAATGTGATGAAAAAAACAGAAACGACAATACGACAGATATCGTTAACAGAGATTTAATCAACGGTATAAATATGGGAAATGAATTCCGAGAATTTTCCACTGACCGATTCATAAAGACTGGCCGTTTGACAGAGGGCCGCTCAATGGAAGTTTGACTGTACAATACCAACTTATTACAAGTAGCCAACAGCCAAATAGTAAGGAGACCTCAGCTGAGATCAAAAGAGATGAAACGAAGTCACGAAGACAGGAACGTTCAATGACAAGACGTGAATTCCTTTGATAAAACCGGTCGTTGATTAATTTATAAGTGTTTTCACTGATTAATGAAACGCGAAATAAGGACAGATCAAGCCGGAATAGCGTCACAATACATAATAAGAGGATATAAATTTTTTCACTGAGTGTACTTTAATAAAACAAAAACCAGGAGAGCGGATGTAAATTCCATGACCCAGTTTAATCTTCCTGTTTATCATAACAGAAGCAGTGTTACTGCGACACAACTTTTATTCCATAAACTATATTGTCACACCAAGAACATGACAATGACTGTTTTGGTACTTGCTGTTGTTTATTAAGTGCACGAGTTTCTGTCTTTTATTGGTTTCCCAATGATTGATGAGAGTATCTGACTAATTTGTAAATAGGGACATGATGATGTAATGCTCTGCTGCGCTTGAAATATTAACTGGAAAAACGCAACATCATGACATTTTTAGCGATAGAAGCCTATTACCAAGGGTGAAATAAGGTGGCGGAGAGTTATTTAAAATCCTAACACATCATGATAAGGCCGGAAGTTGAAAAATTTTGAGTATTTTATAGGTTTCGGAGGTCATTACCACTTCGTGTAACAAAGAATATCAAAAGTGCGAAACATTCCGAAATTTGCAAACAATGCCTCAGCATAGTCAGCTAACAGATACTAAAGCACTAAAAATAGTTGGCTAAACAGAAAGCTCTTCAACTATTCTTCCATCAGGAACAGAGATATACAGAGAAACATGAGTGATGCGTCAACTCTCCCACCCGAGTTTTACAACGCCTTTGGAATCGATTCGGCTTCGTTTCAATCAGCCTTCCAAGATTCTGGTAACGAAATGTTTAGCTTAAGACCTGGTTGGTCATTAGGCTTTACTCATGCAGTGTTGACAACCGGTGATAAACCTAAAACAGTGGCTTCAGTTAAAGGGCATCCCCTAGAGGCAAGTGCTGCCGGTGAGTTGTGGAAAAAGTGAACTAAAGGGACACCTGTCACTGAAGAGTACTGCTTTGTACATAACTGCACCAACCCTAATTGTAAACCAACGAGTCCTCAAAAGGCAAGAGCAACAGTTTAATTATGCGTCTCGTATAAACCCTTTTCCACCCTCGCAAAGGCAACGAAATCCCACTATGACTGCCAAACCTCTGAGCAACAAATGACGAACAGTGTAACAAAATGCATGACAATTCACTCATGCATAGGAATCTTTGTTAGAGTCATTCCCCTGGGGAGGAAATCATGAGTCTCAAAAAAAAGAAAAAGACCCGATTGTTGCAAAATAGAAACTAATTTATTAGCGGTATTGAGACGAAAGCTCACAAAAATTGACCACTAAGCATATCAAAGAGTAAACTTGAAAAATTGTCCTAGCCCTTTGGTTCATAGTTACTCACTAAGTTCTCTGCATCGTTAAGTTTGCGTTAAGTAACAAATATCTCCCGCTGCACAAGTACCTCTGAGGATGACCGACACACAATTTCATTATTCATGCGAACGTACCGCTGTTCTTGATTCAAATTTCCTTTTTTGTCCTTGCTATTTTAGGTAGAATAACATCTTATAAAATCTTAGGAGATTTGCACGTGCGCCAAATTAGTCTAGCCTTTCCAGCTTTGCAGGTATCACTTCGTTGTCTTTGTAAGGTAAGAAGTACATGACATGTCAAAATGATGTACGAACAAAAAGTTCGTGACTCAGGTGAGAGTGTAATTGATCACTGATTCTTTCAACACGTCAAGTTGACTTGATATCTGATCTGTTACCAAACGGTCCCACGGCATTGGGTTTATTTGTTTGTTAACTGGACAAATGTAAAATAATTCATGAAAAAAACTGTGTACATATTTTCAATGTCGGTTACACTTTCTAGATCCTTAAATCCCTCAAATGTTTGTCGTTTTTTTCTGAAATAGTATGTAACGAATTTATCGCACGTGAAGTTAAGTGATACCTCAGAGAAACAGAATTTTATTACCATCAACTTGGATAGCTTGAATATCTAAATTAAGGTCATTTTGTTATCAAACCAACTGTTAGGATGAGGCCACAGAGTTCTAAGAGGCATTTTAAACTGGCTGATCTTTTTGACCTCGTTGATGATTTTTTCTTTTTCATTAAATTTACAATGCACTGTCAAGCTGATATGCCTTGTTGTCAGATCCAAGTACTTTGTCGTACATTGGAGACGTATAGCTCTGTAAAACAAAGATACCAAGATCAGTGAGGCGAGGAAAAAATTAATGGAAATGTCTTAGAGACCATCCATTTTTTATTGTCGGGAAGAGGGGAAGGAATGTGGTTACGTAACAATAAAATCTACCTAATCCCCTTTCCTAAGGCTCTGTAGCATTCTAATGACCCTCCCCACCCCCCTCTCATTGGCAGTCAATTTTCTATGTTCTCCCATTTAAACTCTGTTAGCAACAGATGACACCCTTCGTTACTCCTACAAAACAATGTAAGCTCCAAAAGACACTGGTCGACAAACCTGCGACTGAGCCCTCAAGCCATTATGCCCGTTTTCCATTAGTTGCCAGTCTCCATCAAGGGCATACAATTCCTTCTTTTCACCCTGTTTAGCGTTTCTGTATTTCACCTGTTCAAATAGAGAAGAGTCAATGAAAAGAACGCTCAAGCAACTCTTAAGCAGCAAACTACACCGCCTGTGTGCCTTGCTGTATTTGTTGGTATGACCCTTCTTGACAATTTTCAGTCGTTGACATGATAGAAATATGTCGGAGCCACGCCGTACGCCATCATTTTCCTACAACCAACCCATTGTGATAATAAAAATTTTCGCGCCCAAGAAACGAATTGAAAGTTCACATTTTTTCCCACCACTTTTCTCTCAAATGCCTTTCGCCGCTCCCTTACCTCACCAGTATAAATGACGCTACAGTAAAGCTCTCAATCATTTGATTTCGATTGAGTTTACAAATTGTCACCAAGAACTTAGACCAGCCAATTAAATGTATGCAATTGAAACAGGGTGTACATGTGTATCTGTTGCCGAGCACACCAAATTCGATCCTTCCATGGTTGGTAGTTTTGATGATTAAATACGCATCGCAAAAATGCAAAGAAATTATCTGAATACTCACTGCCAAAACGCCAATAGCCACCAATAGAAAAAAGACAATTGTTGCAGCTGCGATTAGCACGATCTCCCAGTCCTTGATTGTCGATTTTTCTGTAAAAAGAAAGTGAGAGAGAGAGCCCTGAGAACAGGAGATCTTATCATAACTGAAGATGGCGCAAAACATCATGCAGATAAATGTTTGTTATTCACAACAAGCCCTGGATGTTAAGTATGGATGCTATTTGTATCTGCAACTGTGGGCTGGGTTTTTTCGAAAGTCAGCTTTGATCCAGATTTCTTGAAAGTGTTGATCGGCTCTGAAGCACATTTTTGTTTTACAATTTAGTGGTGATCTTCTTGCGCCGCAGATCAGTCGGTTGCGTAAACAAAATAAGAAAGATAGTTAGATCAGTTAGTTGTTTCCCCACATATCTCGAGGATGGAGGTTATTGCTCAAGTAAGCACGATGTACCAAGGACCTGAGACATGAATGTTGTATACCTGTACCGCGGATCTAAAATACGGCCTGAATCCATAGTTAGTGGTAAACCGCATAAAAGGCCTACTGCTGGCCAAATACGTAATCCAAAAAATAGATAAAATAAGCGCAATTGTTGATTTGAACATTTGCGCTTACATATTGGTAGCAGAACCGGCCATGCAGCCTGAACATGACCTGGCTTCGCTCATTTTCGTTATTGTGATGTAAGGTATAAGAAGGTAGAAGGACAATCTCGGGTCCTCAGTTAATATCCCCTCTGTAATCTGAACAGAGTCAAGAGCGCACTTTTCAAACGAAATATATTCGGCATACATTGTGGCTCTTGGGTGGAAATGTTCTATTAAAGTATACATTTCCCAAAGAGAAGTTCTAACCGGAAATGGGATAATCTCCCCTTTGAGTTAGTGTAGTTAAACGGATAAGGTAGGGGATACTTTTGTGCATGTCAGATTTCCCTGAACTTCGTTAATTGCTAACGACATAAAAGCAACTTAAAAAATAAAAAGACACTGCAAGTTACCTGTGGTTGCAGTTGGTGCTGCTGTCGTCGGTGCTGCTGTCGTCTGAACAACCTGCTTCTTTATGGTTATATCTCCCGTCAGCCTCAAAAATCCCAGTGCGCTCGAGCCATTACCTTCTTTGAGAGCTTGCACGATTTTTACATCGGTCACATTTGAGGTTGTTGGAAATAGCAATTCATAGTCAACTCCAACACTTCCGTTGAAAAGACGCTTGTAAATAATATCTTTTAAATCTGGAAATTTCTCTTTGAAAAATGGTTTTAATTTCGAGTCCAAAACTGTAATGAAGGCACGAGATGTTGGCGAATTGATGTCATCATAGTCCCGGTTATACCGTTGATCCAATTTCATTGTGCCGGCAAATACTTGGATAGGCTTCTCTGTATAAAAAAGATCAACAATAACATATCAACATATTGAAACGATTAAAAAAAATAGAGAGGAAACAGCGAAAACTACATAATAGACTTAGATACAATTCAAACGCCTCCATTTTGGACTGAGGACGACAACATCCACAAGCAGAGTGCAAAAACAGAGTACAAGGAATAACGATTTGATAACTGTTTGGTAAAAATTGTAATTATATCGGTGATATTTACCTGGCAAACAAGTTTCGCTCATACCATTTATCGTTATCTAATCACTCTAATTTGTCGTTAGCCAATCGCTCTGACGAAGGGCGAACGCTCGAAACGTCAGCCTTTAAACTCTTTACGGTGGCCAATTTATGCAATCAACTCAATTGATAACACTAAATTACATTCATCGTTACGCTAAGTTACTATTGAAGTTCGCGCTACCGGTCATAGTAACTGTTTAGATCGCGTGGAAAACAATAAGGTAGGTGCTTCGAAATGCGTATATATTGTACACTTCTGACCTCTTATCAATCTTGAAATTTGAAAAGTTATCGACACTGAATTGACTGCATGTGATACTTTGTATTCAGGTGTTTTTAACTTTACTTTCTATTTCTAACTGACTCTCTAAATCCGGAATTATTTTGCCATAAATGAAAGATCCTGCATGCAAAGAATTGTGTGAGTCATCGAAGTCAACCCACCGATCTTCATTGGGAAGTCTTTCCTCTGGTGGTGATTTCCAGAATCCGGCGTAAAATCAACATAGGTCGTAGAACTGAGATGATTTCCGGTGTACTCACCATCATCATTTGAAATATTTTTGTTCGACGGATACAAGTTAACTCCACTCAGAGTCTCACAAGAGCGCATAGCAAACAAAACTGACAAAAGGCCAATTCTTCGATTATTAGGATATTATGAGCGGATGTTGGCGGTTTGTAAAACAATAGGTTGAAGGGACTTTTGTCCCTCGTTGGTGAAATTGCACTGTGCACGGCTTACGAGTTGTAATTGAAATACTAAACCTTTGTTCGCCGATTAGGTATATAGTGCACACGAATGGAGACTTCATATCTTTGACTATGCGCGCTACACCTGTGAAAGTCAGTATTCATTAAGCGAAATCAGAGCCTTTCCAAACCACCGCCGGCGTCGCGGCTTTTTAGTTTTGTAATTAATTATAATTGAATGCATGCCTAATGTGCCGCCAGTGTAGGTATAGCCCGCCGGGACAGTTCTGATCAAAAGTGGGACGGGAATGTGAGGACTGGAACTCGGGGACGTGGGACTCGAGCAGGAGAAAGAATCAAGGAAGCTTCTAAGTTGATTGCGTTAGTACTCACGGGAAAATGTCAAATTCTTAATTGATTTGAAGTTGTGAAAACCTCAGACGGAAAAGTAGTTGTTTGCGACTTTTTTCTCTTCGCCGCTCCTCTCTTCTCCCTAAATTTTATTAAAAGAGAGGCAATGTTGAGAAGACACGAGTTCGGTGATTCATAGGTCTGTCGGCTTTGGAAAAAAGATAGCCCTTGAACTAACTCACATCTGATTCGCGTCCGTTAAATTTTTCTTGCGCCAGATGCCTCCGAAAGATAAGGGAAATGGGAGCATTGCAAGTATGGTGCAGTAAAATAATACAATCAGGAGCTGCGTATCTTTACTGAACAGGAACAAGAGTTGACCATTTCACCAAAAATAATCGGCGCCGAATCTTTGCAAGAGTCAACACATTCCTTTGCTGGACCCTCTGGAGAATCACCTCCTGAGAGGAAACTTAAAGGTATGAATAAACCGGTGCATCATCAAGGGTTTATACGTGACGCGTGATGAAGGCCAAAGTTAAGATGTAACGCGTGAATTTTACTGAAAGGTTCACGTTATTCGTGAATTTACGAAACTGTTTGAGGCCTGAAGTATACTTGAACCCTGAATTTTTTTTTGCTCATAGCGTGAAAAACCTCAAGATTTCCCTGAATCCATGCGCACTAGAGGAGAGGTTAGAAATTTCCTCTTTTATATCCGTGATGCGTGAACTCTCATCTCGAAGCAGTTCCAACGAATTCACCGAAGGACTGCGTTTTAATTTGCCTCAGTAAACCCACGGTCATACGAAAGGTTCAGTAAAGCTAAAACATTATCTGTGCAAAAGCCAAGCTAGCCTTGTTACACCAAGACCTGTTCAAATCATAGTCAAGATAGTGTTCATGAATTCATACATCCTGTTTTGAAAATTTTTATGTGATGAAACTTCTCTTTCTTTTAATTTTTCAGATCCATACATACAGAAGGAGGCCTTACAAACCCCTGTAATTAGTGCAATGGTCTGTTTGAGGGCAAATGACATCTTGACATCTACGTGTGAGCAGTGAAGGAGTAATTTTCTTGGATCCTACTAGAGCAACAGTACTGCATCATCTTGTTGAAAGAAGGAAGAGGAGTCAAAAATCTTAAGTCTTGTATCGTCAGTTGAAATGAAAATTACTGAACGGGTAACTTATCTTATACGAGCTATTGACGATATCGTCACTTAGTGATGGTGATGTAAATTCGGCTTTAAGTGTCCTCATCCAAGGTCGTCTCATTTTATACTTGTGTAAAAATGATCAGATCATCTTATTCTGCAACAGATGAGCTCTTTATGCCAAGAATTTCTACAGCATTGGACGTCAAGGCTTGTAGAATTTCTGCAGCATTGGACGTCAAGGTGTGCAGAATTTCTGCAAAACGGGACGTCAAGGCGTGCAGAATTTAAACAGCACTGGACGTCAAGGCTCGCAGAATTTCTGCAGCACTGGACGTCAAACCTCGAAGAATTTCTGCAGTATTAGACGCCATACCATGGAGAATTTCTGCGGCATTGGAGTTCAAACCTTGGAGAATTTCTGCATTACAGTTCGTAATACCAAGTCAAATAAAATTGAAAAGAAAAACCGCTTAACATAATAAGTTAAAATCAAAGACTTTATCGTTCCTTTTAAACGAGTAAAGCATTATGTGCACCTTGACCAGATTTAACAACCAACGCAGTTAAAAACTGAAGATCGGTTGTCAATATATGGTATATAAGATCGTCAACCTTGCCAATCCAAGAGAGAGATTGACAACGATTCAATCACACCCTCTTCAAAATTCACCTGTGAAAAAATTCAAGTAACCTTTGAAATCAAGGTTTACTTTAAAATGTGCAACAACTTTTTTTTTAATCAACCTTGATTTCAAGGTTAAATTCGAGATTTGCCTTTAAAATCACGGTTAACTTTAAGAAAACGTCAGAACCCGCTTTTTCTAACTACTAGGCGCGAACATGTATTAATCCCTACTTAGCAGTACTTCGCTAGAACGATATATTACTGGAATGGGAAATGTCAGACAGGCCCATACCTGATTGGCAAGTTGTCCCTTCAAACGCTGAAGTACATGTACATTTGAACGTTTCACCATCCTCTTTGCAAGTTCCATCGTTTTCGCATGGGTTTGGATTACAGGCACTGAGTTCTAAGGGTAAAGACGCGAATAATTCAGACGGGATTAAATGGAATGTTTACGTATATGTGTTGGACATATGTTATCTTCATTGGTATAACCAAATACATTTTCTCGTTTCAAATCAAATCAGTGCCCATAATTGCTAAGCTTTCGCTAAATTTTCAAAGAGGTAAACCTAATGTCGCATATTGACCATTGCCTTTAAGTCTAAAATAATCAATGATAACCTTTAATGCGGCTACACTAAGTAAACACTTCAAAATGAAAGAAATGCTAGCCCAATAGAAAAAAAAATTAAAGAAACAAGTGACACATTCAGAGAAAATTTCTTTGCTTTAAATTGTCCTCACTCAAATTCAATCAGTTATTTCTTTGCTTTTTCGCAAAAGTAGAAATGGTTCGTAGGTTAAAAGTTTCGTAATGAACATCTAACGAGACTTACTTTTCTCACAGCTTTCTCCAAAGTAATCATTTTCACATTCACATATAAAACCGTTTATTCTGTCGAGGCAGTTTCCATTTCCTGAACAGTTTTCGTATTCACAGTCATTAATATCTATGACAGCAAAAAGAAAAACAACAACAACATTAAGCATTGTTTACAGGTGCTAGTATTGTATGAAAACAAAATCTAAATACATTCATCAATTACCTTTGGAGCAATTACTACCAGTAAATCCTGGAGGACACGTAGGTGCTACCGTTGGAATAATGCTAGCCACCGTTGGAGCCATTTCGCTAGCAGATGGGGATGGTGTCGTAGGACTCATTGATGACATGTGACTTGCAGATGGGGATGGTGTCGTAGAATTCATTGATGGCATGTAACTTGCAGATGGTGATGGCGTCGTAGAATTCATTGATGTCATGTCACTTGCAGATGGGGATGGCGTCGTAGAATTCATTGATGGCATGTGACTTGCAAATGGGGATGGCGTCGTAGAATTCATTGATGGCATGTTACTTGCAGATGGTGATGGCGTCGTAGAATTCATTGATGGCATGTCACTTGCAGATGAGGATGGCTTCGTAGGATCTATTGATGATATGTCACTTGCAGATGGTGATGGCGTCGTAGAATTCATTGATGACATGTGACTTGCAGATGGTGATGGCGTCGTAGAATTCATTGATGGCATGTTACTTGCAGATGGAGGTGGCGTCGTGGAATTCATTGATGACATGTCACTTGCAGATGAGGATGGCTTCGTAGAATCCATTGATGACATGTCACTTGCAAATGGGGATGGCGTCGTAGGACTCATTGATGACATGTGACTTGCAGATGGGGATGGCGTCGTAGAATTCATTGATGGCATGTTACTTGCAGATGGTGATGGCGTCGTAGAATTCATTGATGGCATGTCACTTGCGGATGAGGATGGCTTCGTAGGATCCATTGATGATATGTCACTTGCAGATGGTGATGGCGTCGTAGAATTCATTGATGACATGTGACTTGCAGATGGTGATGGCGTCGTAGAATTCATTGATGGCATGTTACTTGCAGATGGGGGTGGCGTCGTGGAATTCATTGATGACATGTCACTTGCAGATGAGGATGGCTTCGTAGGATCCGTTGATGACATGTCACTTGCAAATGGGGATGGCGTCGTAGGACTCATTGATGACATGTGACTTGCAGATGGGGATGGCGTCGCAGAATTCATTGATGGCATGTTACTTGCAGATGGGGATGGCGTCATAGGATTCATCGATGAAATGTCACTTGCAGATGGGGATGGCGTCATAAGGTTCATTGATGAAATGTCTCTTGCAGATGGGGATGACGTCATAAGATTCGTTGATAACATGTCACTTGCAGATTGTGATGATGTATTGGCAAATCCTGCTGATTTGACATTTTAACCACATGAAAAATTTTATATCTGACATATCTTTAGTTGTGCCTACCTTCCAACAAAGAATTACATTTAGGTTCATAGTACTGAGTCTGTATCGACTTACCACCTGGTAGTGTTAACAGGATGCATGTAACAAGAGCAACAAATTTCTTCTTAAGACGCAGAGCCATCTTTGTCATGTTGCGGTGGAGAGAGTGCCAAATGCTGTCAAAGATGATTGGCTGAATTTCCTCTTATAATGAACTCTGTGATATCAATTCGTGGCTGGCGAAAGCTTGTGTGCAAAGGGAGAAAAAAGAACCGTAAAATGCTAACAATATAACATGACCTAAGGGAGAATAATGTCCGATTGGTTTCTCTTACGTGACCTCAATATTTCTGTAAAATCCAATATCGCTCATAAAGCCTTTTATTCTATTATTCTGCTATCGTTTGGAGAAGATTTTCTCTCCATACATTTTATTTAACCTAGCTTCCTTGTAAATTTTTATCGCACTTTGGCAAATAAATAAATAGAAAATGAAGAGACGGATAAAAATTATATTATAAGACAAAATAAATTTTATTTTGCGGGATATTGTTCGACGTAAGTCATAACCTCTTCGGTTGCCAATGCTCATGTAACAATTTGGAATTAACTTTACAAATACGTGAACTACTATGATAAAATATAAAACGGATTATGAAAACATAACGGAAGTACATTGTCAATATTGAATAAAACTCCATATAGGAGACGAAATAAATTCTGAAATGCTGATTGCAAAAAATGACAACAACGCTGGACCGTGTGGTTTTGTGTTTTCGGTCAGACAAGTTATCTATATATACACGTGTATAACTGATGTAAACAATAATTGTTAAAAGATATGACATATATATTGTTATTTTATGATTCACATCTTTTCTTTTGTTATTCAACAACCTTTATTTAACTTATAACCCCGTTGAATATTAACCAACTGAAAGTCCGGGGAGGGCTCAATAATGTAGCAGGGAAGAGCGGCGCTGATGAATTGAATTTGATTGTAAATGAGGGATTTATCTGTACAAATCCCTCGTTTCAGAGATTTGTACAAATAAATTCCTAAAGCGAAGAATTTATTAGAATTTCTACAAATTAATCCCTCATTAATTATTTACTTTCCAATTACTCAATTGAACCTTGCTATTCCTGAGAACATCAAATTCTTCCCCTTGACAAATTGCGGCCTAAATTTCCGACAATAATGTCATCTGCAAATGTACTTCACTAAAAACAATATAGAGAGAAAATACATGTTTCTTTTCAATTAAGTTTCCGGTCTGTCCGTCCATCCTTGATGCTTTCCTCAGTCACTACTTGCTTTAATTCTTCCGCACGCGAATTTCGTGGAGCAGGCTCATCGCTAGCTACTAGGCCGTCTAAATTGAATCAATACTAAAATTGTGTTGCAATATTTCTTCCGGAAAACTATTTTGAGTAAGAAAAAGCTCCTCGTCGCTATACATGCCGTCCATAATGACAGCACAAAAACAGGACATTTGTGGGTCGATCGGGGAGTCAATGAGCTCTAACATTTGGAAAACATTCGAACACATTTACCGAAAAACTAGTGAACAAGAACAAAATATCAAACAATAGAACACATGAACAAAAAACAAAGAAAATGCAATGCTAAGTCCCTCGTGGACTCGCCAGAATTTTAAAGTACAAAAAAGTCTAGCGCTTGTCACGGAGTAACTCGCAACTTTTCAGAGTTCTGTGAGGAACGCACACATCAGGTTGCTTTCATTGTATCTCCTTTGATCCGACGTAGGTGTGACCGTACGAATTAGCCGGTGTTTGGCCCCTTAAAGAAAAGATCGTTATCTAAAAATCCCTCATGAATAATATCATGAAATTAGTCAAATAAATACCTCGAACGTCGGATACTAGGAGATCTAATACTATTAAAAAACAATAAAATTTTGTTGAAAAATTAGAATTCAGCACAGGCTGGATAAACAGAATTCTTAGAAAAAGAAATGTGTACTAATGAAAAAGCTGAGCAAACTTTTTTAACAATGCCTTCCAGTACCTATACAGCGTGTAGTAAAGTCTTTTGAAGTAGTCATAATCCCAGTTTCATAAATTGAAAACACAAGCACAAGCAGATTTCCTCTAAACCTATAGTTTAAGCCTGTGATGACTTTGAAATTTTGATTCCCCCCTCAAAAGGAAAACAAATAAACTTCATGTTTATATATATTTAGTTTAGGTTAGTGAGGTAAAATTGAGTCAAACATTCAAGACGTAAAACGACGGGTACAAGAAATGCTTACAACTAATTTTTAAGGTTACCCTACCTGGAACAATCACCTTCATGTAAAAATTAGACCAGGTTTGTACTGATGATGCTCAACAGAACTATCCGTGGTAAGAGGACAGGCTTTCCTTTCTTCATTTAAAGAAATAATGATGTTATCATCTTTCCACAAGCTCAGTGGAAAGTGAGAGTGAATGAGACTGATAGTGACTATGTTATTTGAATAAATATCCAGAGCCAGGATAAAAAGTCAGACATGGTCTGCAAAACTCTCTTATTTTAATTTTTTAACCAATTAAGCTCAAGCTTTACATTCTTGCTTTGTGATTATGTGGATGCCAATTACTGGTAATTTAACTTTCATGCATCAAAATACAAAAAAATTTTCTCTTAATCTATATGCCCTAAACATTACAGGGGAGGAGGCAGGTCAAATTAAAAATATGAATTAAAATAAGAGGGCCCCCATTAATTTCAGTCCTAATTAAAGGAGGATCCTTGTTTTTCCACATTCCCACCCTTTTAAACGCACATATCTTATGACCAATTCCTAATTTCGATGTTCAGTTTGGGTAAGACCATTGGTAAGAAACACCATGCATTAATGAAAGCTTGAGCTAGTGTATAATATTACATGTTGCAGTATGGTAACTTACACAGCAAAATTATATAATCACACAAGTCCAAACAAAGGAAGTCAGGTTATTGACTCGCCTGCTTCAACTTTTGAGGGCTTAAGGTACAGAGAATAGATATGGTAAACAGCAACAATTAATACAAAGTTGATAGTTTGAAAACTAAAAGATATACATTTCAATCATCAGACCCTATGCATCCTAGCAAAAGAAGGGTCATTTACCACCATAACTTCTCCCAAATGTTAATGCTTACAGGAGCTCATTTATTTTTGTCTCTAGGTGGTACTGTATTTACAATAGTTCTGCCAACACAAATGCATTTTTCTAAAGTTATCTCATAGCACATGACTGTACAGGTCAAGTGGAAGGTTCCTGCATGGAGACTAACATTTCAGTTACCTCAGCAAACTGTAATCATCAGAACTGCAAGCCAAGGTGTATTTACCAAGTGCTCAAGTTTCCAAATTAGTCATCTAATTCTTACAATGGAGTTCAATCTCTCTCAAAGTCACGGAGCGACTACATAATGTTCACACATTTCGTACATGCAAATAATATTTTATGAGATCTAGGATCGACATAGTTGCCGCGACAAAAAAAATGAGTCGATGAATATAAATTTACACTGACTAGATAAAGTCATAAATCAAGTAATCAAATGAAAAAAGTAAAATATAAAGTGTTGGAGAAGATACTATCAGCAAGCAAATTTCACTCCAAGATTATACCATGATTACGGTCTTAAGAAGTTGGAGAGGCGTAAAGAGTGATTTCTTAAATTTTTCATTTTATTATTTGATGAGCGTTGTTTGTTCTACTCCCAATCTTACAAAGGAATTATAGAGATTCTAAGTAAATTTACCCTGCCTCGACTTTGATTATTCTGGTTATCAATAAATCCTCATCCAATAATTTTTTGAAAATACTTCAGTCTATGATCATGATGCAAAAAAGCCTCTTTGCTAATGAATTAAGTAACCCTTTTTCTTTCCACGTCAACAGTATCCAGTGATATTGATCGGTAAAGAGGAATGAATGATATTCACGATTTTCACTGAGAAATTTTCTGGGTCATTTCATGTTTTTCTATGTTAACTATGCATACGGGAAAGGTTGGAGACTGTCTCTTCCTCCCTGGCTGCAAGCCTCAATTCCGACGGCCCATTGAATCGTGATGGAGACAACAGAGCTAACAGAGCGAAACATTCTTCTCTAATTCACTCAGCGAGTTAATCTGGAGTGAAAGCCAAATGTTTTGGTTTCGGTGTTAATGAATAAACTCATTTTGGAAAGATGGTCCGATATGCTCAATTAAGAAGTAATGTAGAATAAGCGTGGCTGCCAACACGGTATAGTTGTTATTACGCAACAAGTGACCGGTTTGTCTGATACTATTGTCCCTTTATATTTCAATTGAAAGCTAGTGTCTTCGCGCATAATTACTGTCAGGTTGGATAATAGTGTTAGAGCTATTTTTAAATCGTAAGTGGTCTCTTTGTTGAGCGCAAATTAACAAGAAGCTGTTTAAGAATAACATGACGTTTCTGGAAAGCACCATTTACCGTTATAACGAAGGAAAAAAACCAAAGTGAAAAAAGGAGCCAAAATGTATAAAAACGGACAAATGTCTTGATACTGAAAGATTACCTTTATTTATTCGGAAGAGGTGCTGATCTCAAGTTTAGTTCCTATTAACGAGCTGACAAGTCATTTGAAACTGACGTGGAGCTTAATAAATGCACTGCACGTTCGTTCTGCGGTTAGCTTCGCAAACTTATGTGTACAAGCTGAAACAATTCGACAGGAAAATAGTTCATTCCAGTTTCTTTCTATCTATCCTTGTTATGTCTGCGGAATTTCTTTAATGTTTATTTACCCTAGAAAGATGCGACGAAAGACGTTTCAAAATGAACCTAACGTAAGAACCCACGAATTCGTCACACATTTTTAAAACTCTCCCTTGAAAAAAGTTCCGCGCCGGTCAAACAACAGCGGCTGAGATGTGAACCTATTTTGGTAAATTCTCGATCACTTCTCCATCGATATTTTGTTTGTTTGTTTCCAAGAGGTCAGTTTCTGAGGAATTTGATCTATTTTCTGTCGTATAACATCACTACCGTTGCAGTAAAACCTAACAGATGATTCAGCTCAAGTAAAAACAAGCACTACCTTAAAGAAAACAGGTCACTTATCTAAAATATAGAGCTAAATTTCCACACCTCCTTACTCAATTAGATTTTAACTTAAGAACTCAGTCATAAAAGAAGCCAACCATGACTGTTACCGCAGAAACATATTCTTAAGCCGTCAACAAGAAACTTTTTGCCTTTTTTTCTAAAAATGGTTTAGTGGATGATAGGAAAACTGGAAGATTAAAAGTGTTTTCTTTCTTCGTCTGGCACCACCAGTCGTAATTGTTTTTTTTTTTCGTTAAGTCACGATAATATTATGCAGATTTTTTTTACGTAAGTCGGACAAAGTCCTTATGGCGCAACATCATCTTAAACAGCTTTGAATGTAGTAAAAATTAATATTGTATTAGAAATAAAGGTACGAATGGTATGAAAGCTTAGAAAAGCCGCCTTGATCACTTGATGGAAATTGACGACGTTGGCCTACTATAAGACATCAGTAGCTGATACGTGAGTTACCCAATCTTATCTGATTTCTCTCACTACTGATCAAACACGTAAGTGCCATTAGTCGAAAGTTAGGTATTATAAAATATATCTTGTTACGATAAAATAACAAGAGACTTTCAAAGACGAAGACCTTACCTTGCTGACCCGTCTTTAGACACTCGAAAATTCGAATGAGGAATGAAAATGAGCAAGGGTCAATGTAAATATACGTCAAATAAACTTATTAATGCGGAAAAAGGAAGTGTTTTGACTTAATAAAACCCTTAAGGGTTTCTTCTGTTTTGAATGTGTTCTGACCAATATTCCGCGACTGAAAATGTACGTTAAAAGCCTAGACTGTCAAGAAGAGTTTTTCAGTAAGAAAGAATAAAATATGTATGGTCCATCACGAATCACGAACCGCGTGCTTCTCATCCTCCGCCTTCCTTCTGTATTTTGCTTTCACCGACAGCAATTAAAACAAGGTTAATAAGAGGACCACCTCCGCTATGAAAGATTCCTTCATAATTAACAATGGAATGATAGCACGAAAATGAATGTGAAATATGCCACGCAGAGCTTAGACAAAGACGGACTGTTTTTGTTTTGCTTGATCAGAGATTGTTCTAGAAATTTTTCCGGATCGCGCGAGTGAGAGCCCTCAAGTAGCTACTTATCAGGGAGGGTGGGAGGGGGGGGGGGGGGGAGGAAGGCAAGACAAAGATATTATCATGACAACGCGTGTTTCTAGTGAGTACTTGAAAAGTCAAAGTCAACTGAAACAACTTTTCGAAGAGTAGACCGCCTTAAAGCCTACTTGTGATTGTACTTAATTTGTTCTCCTTTACTGCCAAATCTTACATATTGATTCCATACTGCAGTGTTCATAGATAACTTGAACAAACGGTGACGTGGATATTTTACTGAACAATCATTTCCCAATAGTAATTGATAAGGCACCTTCTCCTTGCAATATCGATACATCATCTAACAAACAGGTAATGTGAACTAGCGAATCAGCTGGAGGGTGTCTTTATTATACAACACCAAATTTTCTCTACTTCTTTACTGAATCAAAGGAAACTTTTGCCAGGTAGAAGTAAGAGATCGTTAGCGGGTCTTAAGAATTAGACAGTAAACTCAATTATTTTCCATTTATCACAGGCAAAGTGGGTTGACAGTGGTGACCGATAAAAAAAGCTTGAGAACGTTAAAACTAAATTATAAGAAACAATAGAAACGTATGCGTGATTGTTTTATTTATCTAACTTATAGTGATTCACAACTAGGGGTTAATGGAGATTCTGTTATATCTCTTAAATCAGCAAACCAAACGTTACTAATACTAAAGCATGTACATCGCGTTGTTGGTTCGAGGACCAACACGCAATTACTGATATTATTGGAGGTGAAAGTACGAACGTTGAGGGGATCGAAAGGCCCTATTAATATGGAATAGGACCTCTAAAATGTACTATTTCCTTTACTGGAAGAAGCCTCTAAATTTACCAACAGCTTCGTAAAAATTTAATCCAAAAAACTGGGATTACCTCCCAAGGATTCACCTTAAAAGAGCCATAACCATATCCAACTAATAGCGGTTCTGACTTTATGACGTTTGCTATGTTTCCAAGTCAGTCAAAGGTTGATTAAAATTGAGAACCTACACTAAGGCATTTCATTTCTTTTTAAAAGCCGTTACCTCCCTTTAAAGAACTCTTTCATAATTTTAATACTGTGACTAGCTCCGTTTTCACGGCACTCAGTAACAACCACTTTACTTTGGTTTGTTTTCTCGTATCCGTCTTGGGACCAAAGACTTTATCTAGTTTTATCTAAGGTTATGCCTTTCCTGGGGACTCTCCTTCATGATCTGTGAGTGAGCAGAGTCTGAGTCCCATGACCTCTCCAGCTGTCTTCACAATTTCACCTTTATATCCGTCAGTTCAATATCGCAGTTGTCACATTTACTCGGAAACTTGTGCCAGCGTCTCTGTGTCAAAATCCGTGCAACAAAATTAATACAAAGAAGAAGTGATTTAGAAAAACATTTAACCATAAAAAAATTGCGATTAAACATGTCTTAAAAATATTTTAAAATTGCTAAAAAAACAACGACGTTTCGACGTTTGCTAAACGTCATTCTCAAGTCAAAAGAATATGTGTAAGTTGCAGTCTCTATATGCCAAAATAACAATGGGTGATTAAAAAGCTGTAACGTAAGAAAAGAACAATAGTAATTAAACAAAAAGTTTGGCACGTATGGAGTCCGTCTGCATGGATTTTTAAATTAGGCTTGAGATTCTTAATGAACAGCATTTTAAAGACTAAGCAATCAAATTTTCCCCTGGCACTTTCTTAAAACTCTAAATTGGTTTTCTTTCAAGAGGTGGTTGCTACCGTGAGCTTCCACGGAATGTCGACCGATTGCCGAATATTTGTGCTCAGCAATGCGTTGATGAAGGTGTCGGGCTGTGTACCCGACATAATCTACATCGCACAGATCACATAAGAAACTATAAACAAAGCATTGCCGATTCACAATTGACGGCTTGGATAGCGGAATCAATAATTTTCTTTTTAGAAATGTTTCGGCGGCATAGCGGAAAGAAACACCGATGATAGTAGCACAGCAGGGAATTAGTTTTCCATTCAAAGATCAAGTGGCCACTAATGCGGTTCGGAAGCAGTTGCGCGATCTTAGCCATAAGATTTTCCCTACATTGCGGCCTGTTTTTGTGAGCAGAAAATTGGGGCGAGATCTTAAACCCAAAGAAATCAAACCGTCAATTGTAAATCGGCAATGCGTTGTTTATCGTTTCTCATGCGATCTGTGCGATGCAGATTATGTCGGGTACACAGCCCGACACCTTCATCAACGCATTGCTGAGCACAAATATTCGGCAATCGGTCGACATTTCGTGGAAGCTCACGGTAGTAACCACCTCTTGAAAGAAAACCAATTCAGAGTTTTAAGAAAGTGCCAACGAAAATTCGATTGCTTAGTCTTTGAAATGCTGTTCACCAAGAATCTCAAGCCTAATTTAAAAATCCATGCTGACGGACTCCATACGTGCCCAACTTTTTGTTTAATTACTATTGTTCTTTTCTTACGTTACAGCTTTTTTATCACCCATTGTTATTTTGGTATATATAGATTGCAACTTACAAATATTCGTTTGACTTGATAATGACGTTAGCCAATGTGGAAATGTCGTCGTCTTTTAGAAATCTCCAAATGTTTTTAAGAAATGTTTATCGCAATTTTCTATATTTAAACAAAGTTAATCACAAGTAAGTTGAAATCACAGTGAACAAATGACCTGAGTTTTTTCATTTTTTCCAGAGTTTTATCCCAAGCTTAAGCCTGGTATTTCTGTGTCATTGTCAATCTTGAGTTTCCGTCAAGTTTTGCTGAGAGGTCCTTTCAATTCTCATATTCTGACAGCTTTCACAACCATAATTGAAATAAAAAGCGAATATGACTCTCAACCACTTCCTAAACACTGACCTATAAGCCAAGCATCAAGCTTGACAACAAACGAGAGAAAGATAGCGAAGCAGAACGAGTGCCTTTGCCAAATTAGTTCAATTTGTTGCCGCTATGTTATGAGAGAGTTACCTCGATTTAAGGTCAGTTCGCCACCATAACAAACTCGCTACCACATAACTCCCACCACTGAAAGTCAAATTGCCACCAGTGGCAATATGACTTTTTCGTCATGTGTAGCCTGTCGTATGGAACTGACTTACATTAACTGAAGCTAAGATGTAGTAAAACTACAAAATGGGTGAAAATTCAAAATTTAGGCTTTCATATAATATAATTTTCATAAGTTTGATTGAAAATTTGTGATTTTAAGGACAAAACTCGTGTTAAAGGTCACTTCGACATTTATTCTGCTTTGAATAAAGAAAGGACGCTGAGTCCGTTTCTGTAAACTTCGCTGTATTTGTGCGCCCTCTTTATCGCAATATAACACCACTTCCTAGCCTTTATTTGATGGAAGTTTCGTTCAGTAACATAAACTTCGGCGTAAGTCTCTTGGAGAAAATCACTTGGTTAAAACCACTTTGAATAGAGGGGGTAAGTTTCTAAAGAAACTGTGGTACTGCGTCGCTGGAAGAGTATAACAGGATAATTTAGTATTATCAACTGAGTTTATAACGTAAATTGGCCACCGTAAAGAGTTTAAAAGCTGACCTTTCGAGCGTTAGCCTTAAGTTTCGTCCATTGCTTTAACGAAGGTCTAACGCTTTGGGGCAATTCTTGTTTAGCTCTAAGATCGTTCATCGTGATTTTGACAATGTTTTGGTTGATGAAAGTGGGATCTTTGTCAACTTTTGCCGCAAAGCAAGGTTCGAAGTTTAAGAACTTTGGCATAAAAAGAGGTGTCAGAAAGTTGGCGCAAAGCGGCATTTAGACTTTCGAATCTTGAGTGTTTCGAAAGTATTTTTGTTTTGTATGATTCTAACACCTCGAACCTTGCTTTGTGGCAAAAGTTGACAAAGATCTCACTTTCGACAACCAAAACATTAACAAAAAACAATTAACGATTTCAGAGCTAAACAAGAATTGCCCCAAGCATTAGCCCTTCGTCAGAGCGATGGATGAAGAGCTAACGCTCCAAATTACGTCAGCTTTTAAACTGTTTACGGTGACCAATTTACTTACTAACTCAGTTGATAATACTAAATTACCCTGTTCTACTCTCTCACCGACGCAACACCACAGTTTCTTTAGAAACTTACCTCTTTATTCATATTGATCGACAGTCAGCACCTCAAACGGTTGAGAAGGAAAATATTGATCGTATTCCATTCACTATCACATTCTACCCTCACAACAACGCAATTAAATCTAGCATTCTTAAAAACTTTAAATTACTGCAAAGCAATTCTGAGACTGGTACTATCTTTTCGCAACCTCCCCTAATTTCGTTCAAACGTGACATAAACATAGGCAACTTTTTGGTCAGAAGTTCATTTCAAACCAATGACCAACCTAGCACTTTCATATGCGCTCGCTCACGATGCAAAACTTAGTGTCCTTTCATTCACAACGTAAAGAAAATGTCGGGACCCAAGACATTCATTAAGTTCACTGATCACTTCACTTGCACCTCCGCCAGTGTCATTTACTGCATAACTTGCACTTATTGCCAATTACACATTGATGAAACAGGAAGACGACTAGCTGATCCATTCCGAGAACACCCTTGCGACATAGAAAGAAATGACAAGGACGCATCCAAACCAGTCGCTAGACACTTTATTCTCCCTAATCATTTTAAGCAGCATATGGCAGTTTTCTGCCTTTCCCTACATCTAGGCATTTCGGAAAGCCGAAAAACTTTAGAACAAAAATTTATCTTTCTAATCGGCACTCTTAATCCCCACGGCATCAACGAGCGCACGTCATTCAACTAATCTATTCTTGTTTTCTCGTTACTGTATTCCCAGCAGCTCTATTTACTATAAGTAAACCTACACACAACCCACAATTCCTCCAATCGCTCTGACGAAGGGTTAACGCTCAAAACATCGGCTTTTAAACTCTTTGCGGTGGCCAACTTACGTTATCAACTCAGTTGCTAATACTAAATTACCCTAAAGTCACTCTAGTTTCGCTTCAGGCAAACTTATCATAATTATCGTGACATCAACAAGTTTTGTTTCATTTAACGGTTGAGAGGTCACACTTAACCTCTGAGCCTCTTTCCCTTTTCACAATATACTTCTAAATCCCAGCTTTCATTTAATATAAATTTCACACGATGGGCTACACATGAAGAAAAAGTCAAATCGCCACCGGTGGCGATTTGACTCTCAGTGGTGGGGAGTTTTCTGATGGCGAGTTCGTCGTGGTGGCGAATTGATCGAATACCGTTACTTCATGCCTTTTGCTATGCTCACATCGAGTTTTGGTTGCATTTGTAAGATTCGGAGACCACCCTGGAAGTAGTATAATTGTACTCGACTGCGTCGACTCTAACCCTTAGCTGATGCTCCAAAAACTTTTTACGTAACTCATTATATACTTGCTAAGTATGAACCGATTTAACTCTTTCGTAAAAGCAGCCATTATTTCCTCCATGGAATTTACCAATGTTGCTCAGTGAAAAATGTTATACTCATGTCAATCTATTAAACTGGCATTGAGGTTCTTAACCCATCTTGACTGAATTCAACATAAATATGAAACGATTACCTCGCTGGCAGGCTTTGTTACAGTGCTACCACTTTTCTGATCGCCGTTCGTCGTAATGAAGTCATTCTCTGGTACTTTATCGCGCCTACAATTCAACTGCAGATTTTAAAGACGAAGATAAATCAGCATTATTATATTTTTGACGATGTCTCAACCCTAAAAATTATTAGGTAAAAAAGTTGCATGCATTTCGATGCGAGTTACGCCGAGGCGCAATTTGGTTGCCTTTAAAAATAAAGCAAAGGTATCTCTACGACCAATCAGGGCAGAGACAAATATCACAGAGAAAATTACCCAAGTTACCAAAAATACTCACACCACCGCTACTCACCATTTCACACTTTGGTCGAACTAGATCTATACCATTTACACTCACTAATAGAGAGGGGAACTGATCTCATTACTGGAGCCAAATTTAGGGACAATTTCCAATCATGGGCAACGTTTTGACAAGACGATTACCCCGTTCAATGAGCACCCTGACCAGTTGAACAATGAGTCGCATCTTCGGGCTCGCACTAAGCTTCAACTCGGGTTAATAGCGCCCGCTAAATTCTCTCTGAAGAGAAGATAAATGTAGTAGATGGTAACATCCCAAACGTGGCGACGGTCACCTTAACAATGAAGGCATAAACTACCTCTGAATCGTCAAACGTTTTAGAAAAGATAAACCGCAAGCTAGAAATGACGACTAAATTCACATCACACTCTCTCTCGTCAAATCAAGTACATTAAGTACGTGACCAAATATATTGCATAAGTATACATACCGAACGGATGACAATTATCAGCAAAAACAGTAATATAATGCTTCCATTTACAAATACTACAATCATCCACTTTTTAAGTCCTGTTGAGTCAAAGTAAAAAAAGTTGTATTCCTAATAACTAGAGTAGTGTAGTTTGATCGTCCGAATGAGTGTAGTCCTAAGAGGGACTGTTGTCGGTAGTGGAGACTGACGTTTCGACAACCTTAGCGGAAGTCATCTTCCGACTTGAGTCATCTTCACTTGACTCTGAAGACGACTTCCGCCAAGGTTGTCGAAACGTCAGTCACCACTACCGACAACAGTCCTTCTCAGGACTACACTCACCCGAACGATCAAAGTACACTATTACATGTTACTCCCGGGTTCAAACCATTTACTGTATTAATAACTAGAGTTCGATTTTGAACCTTTACCTTCTAAAAACCGCTAGATGCCCTTATGTTTTGTTAACGCACGATTGTAATTTTCTCTTTGTCGTTGTCTAGTAGAGTAATTGTCCGAAGTGTGGCAGGCTTCTTTTCTTTTCAATCTGTCTCCCTCTATCTGTCTTTCTGTTTATTACTCAAACTTTGCCTAAATTTCCTTATGCATCCCCGCGGAAGAATTACAATCACTGCTAGTGCATTACACTAGCCAGACTAAGTAAGACGTAAAAGAAGCTATTCTCGTCCTACGTTTGTTTTCCAAATATCTTAAAATGTAATTTTCATAATTATTTTTAATCACTACAAATAAATGATCGGTATAGTCGAGCTAGTGTTTCTAACTACACTTTTCCGTTGTTAAAAGCACTTAGACCTTTGTCACATGCATCATGAAATCATTACCTTTGTCTTTAGGGCTGGTAGTTGGGCTATTTGTGTTGGAGGCATCTACAATCTCCTCTAAAATGATGTTTCCTACCAACACGACTCCAAGCTTACCAGTGCTATTTCCCTCCATTAGAGCGAGCTCTATGGTTTTCACGTTGGCATCGGAGTTGCGTTCTGTTAAAATGATAAAATTGACCACAACAGAACCGTTTAATAACCTGGTGACTTCAATTCCTCGATATCCTTGAAGTTTCTCCTTCAAGAAACGACCCACTCTTTCCGTAAAGTTCTTGATAAAGGCTTGGGACTCGGATGAACCAAGATTACTGTAGGGTGACTTGTATTGCCCCTGTATTTTCGCTGTCACTCTATACCTTTTGGTATCCACTCTACCTGCAAAGATTAAAACTTCTTCGCGTGAAGCGAAACCGTTGCATCGTGTCAGAGAAGGAGTAAAACAATAAGAACATTATCAAAATGAGGTATATGTGACGGGTAATCTATGGCTGTCGACAGGGTTAGATCCTATACACCCTAATAGCGGTGAGGCACTTTTTGGGCTGAGCTTAGAAGCCACATCTCCGGAGCAAGGCAATTATTTCTTGCAATAACCCATATCAAAAAGCTGAAGTTTGGAATGTGAACCATGCAATAGAGCAACAAATTTCTGTAATGCGCTGTCTGTTTGAAGACTACATGTGTATGGTTGATCATGAGACATAAATTTAGAGAAAATGGAAAATTTCCCTTGAGTTAAAGCCTAAGGATACAGTCTCTCTCTACGTAGAAGATGCAAACAGTCGGCGGGCGTCTCAAATTAGCAAGGACATATGTTAAGGCAATGAATAAAAAAACTATATGCGCTCGTTTTCCTACCTTTTTCACATACTCTCCCTTCATACTCCACCGTACATTCACAGAAATAAGATTGGCCTTGTTGTTTACAAGTTCCATCATTCTGACATGGGTTTGAAATACATCTGTCAATTCCTAAGCGTGAAAAGAACGTTTAGAGTTCATCTTTTAGAAATAACAACGTTAGTGAGTGACAGCTGCTTGTAATCTTGATTACCTCGATCGGGGACATTTCGCATTGTTTCTTATGTAAGTATTATTTCTTGGTAAGACGTAGCCCCTCAACCTCAAAAGGAGTTATATCTTGTTTTGGCGTTGGACAAATTCTGTCAAGATTAAAGTCGGACCGTTGAATTGCTGATGTGTTTTTTCTCGAATCGATAACTGTGTATGGTTGCAATAAAAAGTTCCTTTATCTTTTTCTACACAAAATCGTTCATGATTTAACCATTTATTCTCGAAAATCAACTCCCTCTAAAATCGTGGCCGATAATCGGCGTTTCGTAAGGCGAAAAAGGAAATTTAACAAGACATTTCTCATCTTACCAGTACACTCGCCTCCTTCAGAACACGGAGCTGGCAATGTAGCGCCTTCTGTGATACTAACAGTAGTCGATGATGGTTGTTTTTCTTCTGAATCACTCGTTGCGGTAGAAAGAACAGGAATCAAAGATGTTGATGGTTCTAATGTTACTATTCTCATTGTTTTGGAATCGTCAATTGCAAGACTTGAAGATGGTGATAGCACTGATGTTACTTCTACTGTTGGCGCAACAATTGTAGTTGCATGCGATGCTTGGCTTACAGAATATGATGGAGGTGATGGTACTGCCGTAAATGCAGCAACATTTCCAGTAGCATCAGATTTTTGGCTAACAAAAGTAATTGATGTTGTTCTTACTACCATAGACGAAACACTTCTCGAAGTTTCGTCAGATTTTTGACTTGCAGAGCTTAAAGATGTAGAAGTTACTCCCGCAGTGTCCAGTGTTTGACCTCTAACCATTGATGAAATTGATGCTGTCGTTGTTGAAGGAGCATCACCAGCATAGGAATCCGGTGCTTGTCCTACAGAAATTGATAATTTTATTGCCATCGACGTGAAATGAGGGAAACTCGTGGTAGCCTCTGGTATATAAGATTCAAAAGTGGTTGAGAAGAGGCCACCTCTTGGAGAAGTACCTGGTGTATGACTTGCAGGATTTGATGATTCTGGTATCACTTTTACAGATGAGGCAACACTCTTAACAGCGTCTAATGCCTTAGTTACAGAACTCGTCGTTGTTAGCGCTACTGCCATGGACGGAAAAACGCTTAATGTAGCGTCTGATGCCCGACCTGCAGACCGTAATGACTGTGAAATAGATGGATCGACACGTGTTGCTTGAATTACGGATGTTGAAAATTTAGTTGTTACTGCTATGAATGCAACAACGCTTGTACTTTTGGCGTCTGGTTCCTGACGTGCAGAACCTAATGGTTTAGATGTTACAGCAATAGATGGGGAAGAATCTGTTGTTTTATCTGTTGTTTGACTTGCAGAACTTGACACTTTTGATGTCACTGCTCTGGAAGAATCAAAACCTGTTGTAGTATATGTTGCCTGACTTTCAGACCTTGATGATATTAGTGATAATGCCATAGATGCATCCACACTTGTTGTAGCATCTGATTCCTTACCCGTAGAATGTAATGAATCTACAGTTACAACTACGGATGAAAAGACTCTTGTAGTTGCCTCAGTTACCTGACCTGCAGATGTTGTTGATTTCAGCGTAACTGCCATAAATGTTAAAACGCTTGCGTCAGGTGTGTCTGATGCCTGAATTGCAAGGCTTGGTGACTTTGCTGTTGCTGCTGTGTATAAGTCAACACTCGTGGCAACACCCAATGCCTGACTTGATCTTATCAAGATAGTTGTTGCAGCTACAGCCGGAACAAAGCTTGTAGCAATTTCTATTGCCTGACTCACAGAAGGCGATGAGTTTAATGTCACTGTCAATGAAGGAGTAACACTGTTGGCGACGTCTGACGTTTGACTCACAGAAGTTGTTGATTTAGATGTTGCTACTGTAGATGGGAGAATATTTGCAGTGGTTTCTGGAGTGTGATTTGCGGGATTTGATGATTCTGATGTTCCTGCCTTGAAAGGAGAAACGCTTTTATTAGTGACTGATGCCTGACTTACAGAACTTGATGATATCGGTGCAACCGCCATGGACAGAAAAACGCTTGAAGTTGCATCCGATTCCTGACTTGCAGCATTTGACGATTTTGATGTTGCTACTCTAAATGTAAAAAGACTTGTCCTTGCGTCTGATAACTGCCTTGCAGAAAGTGAGGATTTAAAAATCACTGTCGTGGATAAAACAACGCTTGAAGTGGGGTCTGGTGTAAGACCTGCAGAAATTAGTGATTCTAATGTTCCTCTTGTGGATAAAACGACAATTTTAGAAGCATCTGATGCCTGACTTGCAATAACTGATATTTTAGGAGTTACTACCATAGATGGTACAACAGTTGACGCTTTTGATGTTTCTGCTTTGGAGGGAACTACACTTATAGTAGTGTCTGATTCCTGTTTCGAAGACCGTGATAATTTTGATTCTTTTGCCATGGGTATACCAATTGTGGTAGTGGTGTACGCTTGACCCGAAGGTAACGATTTTGTTGTCACAACAGTGTATGGAACAACAGCTGTGATTCCTGAGTGGCAAAAGCTGATTTTTTTGGTGTAACTCCCGTGGATGAAACAACAAGTGCAATAGCATCTAATTTCTGACTTGAAAAAGCTGATGATTCTAATGTATCTGTTGTGGATAGAGTAACACTGGCAGCAGCGTCTGATTCTTCACTTCCAGATGTTGATGATTTTGATGTTACTGCCGTTAATGAACGAATACTCGAAGTAGTAAATGGTGCATGACTTGCATACGATGATGATTTTGATGTTTTAGGCGTTAATGGACCAGCACTCACTGAAGTCGTTGGTGTATGACTCGAAGATGTTGGAGATTCAAAGTTTACCGCAGTGAAGGGGACAAAAAATGTAGTAGTGTAAGATGCCTGACTTGTAGAGGCTGATGAGTTCGCCGTAAATGAAGCACCGCTGTCGGTAGCGTCTGGTGCCTGAACTGAGGGGGTTGAAAACTCCGCTTTCGTTGGAATAACATATGTTGTGCCATTGGAGGTCTGAGTTGCATAAATGAAAAGTCTTGTCATTTTCTTCGATGAAACAGCCCTTGTAGTATCGTCTGATATATGACTTGTAGAAGTTAATGACTCAGATGTTGTTACTGCGGATAATAGAAGGCTTGTAGAAGCGTCTGATGTACGACTTTCAGAACTTGACGATTCTGATATTCTTGATATGGAAGGAATAGAACTTGTAGTTGAACCTAGCTCCTGAATTGCAGAGGTTAATGATTCTGATTTTGTTGTTGTAGATAGAATGACACCCGTAGTAGAGATCAATGACCGGCTCAAAAAGGTTAATGGTGTTACTGTCGCTGATATTGCAACAATTGTGGTTGCGCCTGGTGAATAACTCAGCATAGTTGACAATTCAGAGGTTATCGAGGTGATTTGACGGAAAGTTGAAGTAGCACTTGATGTCCGACTTGAAGATGTTGATGATTTTGGCGTTGATGGTGCAACACTTTCACTAGAGTCTGATACGCGAACTTCAGAAGTTTGAGATTCTGGTTTCATAACCGTGGATGAATTAACATATGTGGTGCCTTTTAAAGTCTGAAATGCGAAAAGTGATAATTCTGATGTCCCTTCCAAAGATAAAACAACACTTTTAGTACTTTCTAGTGAATTAATAGTAGGAGTTGATTGTGTAGATGTTCCTTCTGTGGTTAAAACAACGCTCCAAGAAACATTTGATGATTGACTTGCAGAAGTTGGCGCTTTTAATGTTAATGCTTTAGAAGAAACTATTCTTGAAGTAGTGTCTGATTCCTGTTTCGAAGACCCTGATGATTTTGATTGTTCTGCCATAGGTATGCCGACTGTAGTAGTGGTGTATGCTTCACCTAAAGTTAACGATTTGGATGTAACTACAGTGTATGGAACAACAGCTGTGACTTCATCTGATTTCTCAGAGGCAAGAGCTGATACTTTTGCTGTGACTGCCGCGGATGGAACAACAAGTGTAATAGCGTCTGATTCTTCACTTCCAGATGTTGATGATTTTGATGTTACTGCCGTTAATGAACGAATACTCGAGGTAGTGAATGGTGCATGACTTGCATGCGATGATGATTTTGACGTTTTAGGCGTTGATGGACCAGCGTTCGCTGAATTCGTTAGAGTATGACTCGCAGGTGTTGGCGATTCGAAGTTTACCTCAGTAAATGGATAAAAAGATGTAACAGTGTTAGATGCCTGACTCCCAAAGGTTGATGAGTTTGCCGTAAATGAAGCAACGCTGTCGGTAGCGTCTGGTGCCTGAACTGAAGGGGTTGAAAACTTGGCTATCGTTGGATTAACATTCGTGGTGCTATTGGGGGTCTGAGCTGCAGAACTGAAGAGTCTTGTCATTTCCTTTGGTGAAACAGAACTTGTAGTATAGTTTGATATATGACTTGTAGAAGTTAATGACTCAGATGTTCTTACTGTGGATAATAGAGGGCTTGTAGAAGCATCTGATGCATGACTTTCAAAACTTGACGATTTTGATGTTTTTGATATGGAAGGAATAGAACTTGTAGTTGAACCTGGCTCCTGACTTGCAGAAGTTAATGATTCTGATATTGTTGTTATAGATGGAATGACACCCGTAGCAGTGACCAGTGACCGGCTCAAAAAGGTCAATGCTGTGACTGTCGCTGGCACTGCAACACTTGTGGTAACGCCCGGTGTATAACTTAGGATAGCTGACAATTCAAAGGTTATCGCGGTGATTTGAGGAAAAGTTGAAGTAGCACTCGATGCCTGACTTGAAGAAGTTGATGAGTTTGGTGTTGACGGAGCAACACTTTCAGTTGAGTCTGATGCGGGATTTTTCGAAGTTTGAAATTCTGGTTTCAGTACTGTGGATGAATTTACATATGTGGTGCCCTTTAAAGTCTGAAATGCGGAAAGAGATAATTTTGATGTCCCTTCCATAGATAAAACAACGCTTCTTGTACTCTCTAGTGAATTAATAGTAGAAGTTGATCGTGTAGATGTTCCCTCTATGGTCAAAACAACGCTCAAAGAAACATCTGATGATTGACTTGCAGAAGTTGGCGCTTTTAATGTTAATGCTTTAGAAGAAACTATTCTTGTAGTAGTGTCTGATTCCTGTTTCGAAGACCCTGATGATTTTGATTGTTCTGCCATAGGTATGCCGACTGTAGTAGTGGTGTATGCTTCACCTAAAGTTAACGATTTGGATGTTACTACAGTGTATGGAACAACAGTTGTGACTTCATCTGATTCCTCAGAGGCAAGAGCTGATAGTTTTGGTGTAACTGCCGCGGATGGAATAACAAGTGTAATAGCGTCTGACTCTTCACCTCTAGATGTTGATGATTTTGATGTTACTGCCGTTAAGGAACGAATACTCGAAGAAGTTAATGGTTCACGACTTGCATACGTTGATAATTTTGACGTTTTAGGCGTTGATGGACCAGCATTCGCTGAATTCGTTGGTGTATGACTCGCAGGTGTTGGCGATTCGAAGTTTACCGCAGTAAATGGATAAAAAGATGTAACAGTGTTAGATGCCTGACTCGCAAAGGTTAATGAGTTTGCCGTATATGAAGCACCGCTGTCGGTAGCGTCTGGTGCCTGAACTGAAGGGGTTGAAAACTCCGCTTTCTTTGGAATAACATTCGTGATGCCACTGGGGGTCTGAGTCGCAGAAGTGAATAGTCTTGTCATTTCCTTTGATGAAACAGCGCTTATAGTATTGTTTGATGTATGACTTGTAGAAGTTAATGACTCAGATGTTCTTACTGTTAATAATAGAAGGCTTGTAGAAGCATCTGATACATGACTTTCAAAACTTGACGATTTTGTTGTTGTTGATATGGCAGGAATAGAACTTGTAGTCGAACCTATTTCCGGACTTGCAGAAGTTAATGATTCTGATTTTGTTGTCATCGATGGAATGACACCCGTAGCAGAAACCAATGACCGGCTCAAAAAGGTTAATGGTGTTACTCTTGCTGGTATTGCAACACTTGTGGCTGCACTTGGTGTATAACTTAGGATAGTTGACAATTCAGAGGAAGTTATGCTTGATGCCTGATTTGCAGAAGTTGATGAGTTTGGCGTTGATGGAGCAACAGTTTCAGTGGGGTCTGTTGCGCGAACTTCAGAAGCTGTGGTTAAAACAACGCTGGGAGAACGATCTGATGTCTGACTTGCAGAAGTTAGCGCTTTCAATGTTTCTGCTGGTACTGCCGAGGTTGGAACGACAGTTGTGATAGCATCTGATGCTTGACTTGCAGAAGTTAATGTTTTTGGTGTTACGGTCGTTGATGGGGCAATTTTTGAGGTAGTAGCAGCTGATGTATGATTTTCAGTTGATGTCACTGTAAAAAATAAGACAACAGTTGTCGTAGTGTCCGATGGTAGCCTTTTCATTGTAGATACGTTTGGGAACTGAACACCACTTGTGGTGGGGTCGGCTGCATGTTCTGCAGAAGTTGATGATTTTGGCTTTACTGCATTTGACGTAAATACACTTTTCGTTGCCTTTAATGTGTGGCTTGCGGAAGACAACAGTGTTGACATAATTGCTGTGCTCGCTTTGTTACTGTAACTTCCAACACTTAGGGAAGCGTTTGCTTTATGCGATGAAGACAATGATGGTGTTTGTGATACAAACGTTGAAAAAGCGACAGCAGTAGCAATTTGCGATGTTTGTCTTCCTGTAGTTGTGAGGCCTGGCTCAAAATTCGTAGTAGATGACGTGTTGTTCATCTCAGAACCTGTTGTTGAGCCAAACAAGTTTGTTTGTTTCAAAAGGAGTAGGATGCATGTACAATAGATTGGTACAGTTGTAAATGGTTGTGCTGCCATTGACGGAGTTTGCGCAAAAACTTTCCGGCTGACCTGTGAGATGAAGAGACACGAACCAATCAATAATGTCGTCCTAAAAATATCGTCTTCTTCCCATGGATCAGTCTTTAAGATTCTCTGTATATAACTTAGTATCAGATAAAGATTTATGAAGGAAAAATGCGTAGAACAGAAATTACAACACTTAAATTGAATTACATTGTATATTGAAGGAGAGGAGAGGGGCACATCTAGATAAACTAATATTGTGCCCCTTAAAGTTATGTATAACAAAGGACTTGAGATTTTTAATAAAAAAAGTAAAGGAAAAACGACAAAATAGCTCAGAAAATTATAAAAGAGATAATGTTTCATCAGTATTGAGCAAGGTACCAGCGCAAAAGTGCTTTTCCAAACATTTTTTTAGATGGTTTGTCTCTAATGGATTGCGGAATATCGTTCCAAAAGAAACTTCCAATAATGCTGGGGTAAAATCCCCTAAGATTAGTTCAAAATAAAGGTATTGCAACTTGATTGGATGATGCACTGCGGGTACTGTAATTATGTAGTTCAGATACTAATGAAACAGGTATATTAGGAAACTTTTCAAGGTGGAAATAATCATAAAAAAGCATACATGTTTTCAGTTTAACAATATCAGGAAATTTCAGAAGGCCTAAGGATGTATAGTGTGGAGTTATTGATTCCATTAAAGGAACATCATTTATAACTCGAACCGCTTTGTTTTGTAACTTTATGACTTGAGACAATGGAGCATTATAATTATTTCCCCAAAGTGTACAAGCATAAGTAAGGTAAGGATAAATAAGAGAATAATACACACTAATAAGTGTTGCTTTTGATACATAATGCTTCAACTTAACTTGTTTGTTAAGTTTGTAAAAGAAAAAGTAAGATTTACGTGAAAAAAGCAAGAAATTATCTCAAGTTGGCAGAGCCAGCAAAACACGCGGCCATCATACTCGCTGACCGCTGACCGATTGGATGTTATTGCTGAAAGGCTGTTTAAAATTGTTACTAGTGTGCTAAATTTAGGCTGAAAAATTATACTATCTGATACATCACCTTTAATCAGGGAAATATAAGCAAACGAGAAACCCAGAAAGATACAATAACACGACAAACAGAATAAAAATTACCAAAGTAGTCTCTACCGTTTACAGTCAGGGCTGTACGCCTCAAGAGGATGAAAGCCTTTTTTGTTGGAAAAAATTTCTAATTAGTGCTTACAGTAACATTTTTGATATTTTCCGTCACAGCACTTTATCTTCCCAGAGTGTTTTCACTTATCTTTCAACAGTGTTATTTCACTCTTATTTTCTTAAATATTTACTCAAATCCGACCTATGATGTTGTAGTAAATCCTTGCCTTGGGGCTGCATGGAAGAGAAGTAAAAGCTGCCTTTGAAATTTCAAAGAAGCTTCGTCGTATGTAACTTGTCAACATCTCTCGAGGGCCAAACTTGTTATCAGTGTGTTACCTCGATTGAATATATTTTTTAATTTACTCATTAATTTCCCTTAGTTGTTTGATATCTATAATACTTTAATAAAGGATCTGTTGCATTCAAAGGATTTACCTATACAATTTTCCTTCCGTTTAAGACTTGCAATGGACTTGCTATTGAAGAAAAGGGACATTTATATATCACTAAATCACCACAGCAGTTGATCATTAGTGAAAGACGCGCAAAACAGTTAAGCACCTGCATTAAGAGAATCATACTTCACATCACCTCTGATCTTGTAAACCATTAATTTACAATGCTCTGTTTAAATATCGAATTTTAGAACAAATGCGACAGTATTTCTTATTGCTGCGCAAATAATGTCTACTACTTTCCATGGACTGAGGAATTCCGAATTTCGCAATCCTCTTCATTATTTCCGTGTGGTGCGTGGTAAAAATCGATAGCTATTCAACACTTTCTCCAACTTTAACTATTTAAAATGGTTCGTGCGTTTACTTAGCTCAAACCCAAAGTAAGACCCAAAAAGGAAGCATGAACTCACCAAACCAACATATAAACGTTTTGTTCAATTCATTCTGACTTTCTTGCTCCAGGTTAGCGTCGTTTGCCAGACCTCTTTACATGATTAATGCATTCCCTGAAACTTCAAATAAGTAGGAAAGTGTAAAATTCGTGATGCACATTGGTGATAACCAGTAATAACTGAGACTTATTTAAAGTGTAAACACTCTGTTTCAAGAATCTTAACTAGAAATAATTTCAATGACAAATCACCAAACCAGCGTACAAAGGTTTTGCTAAATTTATTCTGACTTTTCTGCCCCAGGTTAGCGTCGTTTATCAAACTTCTTTACTTTGCATAATTAACCCTTCCTAGAAACTTCTTACAAGTAGGAATAATTCATGATGGCACAGTGGTGACAACCAGTAATAACTGAGACTTCATTAAAGGGTAAAATTTTGTTTTAAAAATCTTAACTAAAACCAATTTCAATAACAAATGAGGGAGTTACAAATTAAGAAAAGAATCTTACGAATTTTTTAATGGTGGGCAAGAAAATGAAACGATAGACATGCATAATTCAAGCTGAGTTGATAGTAATAATAACACCAGGCCTATACAATTACGAACGTTGTTCGATAATCATAAAGAGTCACCTCTTTTAAAATTTTATGGAGGACTCTTTAACGAACAATAACCCAGTTTAGTGTCTCGTCCTCGTACAAGCTCAACTTTGAATTCTTGTAATTTTGAGCAAATGTTTCCATTATTATGGTTCGAGACCATTAAAAGAAAGTTTATACGTAATTAAATTTCGTTTCCAGTGGAAACGCTACAAACATTAGGGAGTTCAATCAGACTCGGCGACGACACATAAGAGATACATTGTTAAAAAGATCATTTTGTTTCTGATAAGTAATTTGCGTTCTTGTGACTCGATGTGTTTACCACCTCTAACTGCGCCAGACCTGCAACCTCTCTGGCCTGATTTCATTTGAAGGCGACTTCGAGTTCCAAATAGAAACGTCAATTACTCCTGTCCCAATTTCTCCTCCCTGAAGACGCAAAGTTTGGCAATTTCATATTCTTGTTTTTCAGAGTAGCTACGGAAAGCACGAAGTTATAAAATCTAGTACGTGTTTGTGCAAGAGTATTTATTCAACGCCTTTCAATTTTAAATGACCACATGCCCTTATTATTGAGATTAATTTAGTATGAATTTACCTAGCGATCTAGTTCAAACCAAGGGGGAAATTTCTATGAATTCATCCAGGGGTTTCGAAAAAAGTCTGTTTTACCGGCGGTCTACAGCTGCCAATAATACCTTTTACCGCCGTCTGCTGAGCTGGCGAGCAGGTCACGTATTTAGGTTTCGCCTTACGGTCTCTTTTCTGGGCACAGCGGTCTACTTCAAAATCGGCAGCCACGTAGAAAAAGTTAATAAAAGGCCTTAGTGAATCCTCATCTGCCAAAGGAATGGGGGCTTGGGAAGCGCATGCGCAATGAGAGGACGAGCCATAGCAACAGATTCTTGTAGCTCGTTCTACAAAAGTCGAAGTCCTTCGGCAAACCTTTCTTGAAGTTGAATCAGATAAACTTTTAATCAGAATTGAGCTTTCTCTGAAACCACCACGTTATTAAAAATTATTTAAGGTCCTTTGGAAAACAAAAAGTCAAATTGCTAAAATTCGTAAATACTTTATTAAATACGATTACAAATGAAGTTATTTGAATTGAGTAAATGTTTACAATAGATTGAGTAGAGTCATAGGGTACGAGTGAACTAATTACAAAGAGTAGACTGACTGGTTATAATGAGGGAGGATGAACTCCGAGCACCTTCAAACCCAAATTTTAAAGGGTTAACGTGTTCCTAGAAGCGCCATAAACAAATTTGACAAACGTTCCAGCACTGTAGTCGTCACTCAATACTCATCAGGAGATGACTCCTCTAGGAGGTTAAGATTATTTATTCCACCACACGCAGCGAAATATAAGGGGCTTTGTATAAAACAAAGCAATTGTATCCTCTCAAATGAATCATCACATGGAAATTTGGAAAAAGGGAATAAATTTTTGTCTGCCAAATTTAGCTACCAGGTGCTAACACTTTCGGCGGAAAACTTGCATGAATCACAGAGCCGTTTCATTTGGCAACATAGGTGTAAAGTCAACCACGTTTACAACGATGATCTCGGAGTTCACTCTTTGGGAACCTTAGGCAAACCAGGACGGCAATGGCAACAAGAACGCGATGAAACCTAGTTTAATGGACAGAATAATAGCTCTACACACCCCTTTTAGATCTTTGTACAATTCCTATCTATCTGCTGCGATAAAACATGCAATCACACAATATTGCGTGGTCCAAGAATGGGAGCCCCTACAACAAATCATTCAAGCTTCCACTTGGAACTCGAACGACTCCTTTAGATCCTACGCTGAAGATGAGGTCTGACGCCATTAAAGATAGCAAGATGAAAGAGAAACTCGCAAAGGGGAACTTAAGTTCATTTTTTAAACACCAGTTCTCTCAGCGTCGCCGTGGTGATTGCGTAAGGCTCCGAAAAATGGTCGAAGAATTACCAGAGTGTGAAATTCTTACAAAACGAGTGAATAACAAAGTCTAGTTTGGGACAAGCTGCTTCGGTTTTCAAAATCATGCCATCTTTTAAATAAAGCTCGTTAAACTAGGCAGACCTAATTAAATAGAAAAAGAGGCTTTTTCACGCAACCTGTCCTGAGATAATTAGTTGTAAAATTTTATCAAATCGAAGTGGATAGTACAAGACAACCAAGTTTTTTTTTAACATCTGAACATGAAAGGGTTTAGGATTGAATCATAAAGATATCTCATACTGTTAACTTCTAAGTAAACCTCCGATAGACTTTATCGAGCCATCCACTTGGAAATTTCATTTGTAACATTTTACAGTGCTGCTGATAGACGTAGCTGTCGTCATACTTCATTGTCAACGTCATAATCATTTCTGACAGTAAGAAATGCGTCTCAATTTGGAAGTATGATCATCATCACATCATAAACATTATCGTCAACGTCATCATCATAACTACTATAATTGTCATCACTGACGTCACGATCAACGTCAACATCATACGAAATAATCACTCATCAGCATCACCGTTACCAACGCAGTCATCACTCACGTCACCAACAACGTCATCATCGTCGTAACCATCAACGTATTCAACATACTCATCATCATCGTCACTTTTACCCATCGTCATAAATAACACTAATTTTGCCTCCAGAGGTACACGTTATTAGCTTCCCCTTACGATTCCAAAACAGCACCGAACAAAGAGGTGATGAGAACAGACACATGGATCGGCAAGTAAGTTCTATCTCGATTTAAATTATTACAGTGATACTTCATTTAAGCGAACACCAAGCCGAATTCGGAAACAAATGTCTTATATTTCCTTTTACAACGAACCCCAATTCAGTGGACACCTCTGTTAAGCGGACGCGGACACTAAAATAAATTGTAGCGGACACTAGAAAATGTTCCGAGGATGTCCGCTTAATAGAGGTTTTTAACAATAGAAATTATTCAAATACAATTCATTTTAGTGTCCGCGTCCGCTTGATAGCGGTTTCACTGTACACAGAAATGAATAACACCTACAATTGGGAACCACTCATCAAACATTGCGATGTTAAAGGTTACGAGGTGCTTGCCTTTTCTCTAATTGAATTCGATCCGCCTGTTGTCCGTTTTCGACAGTAGGTTTCGTAAATTTTTCCCTTTAAGATTGAAATAGTTTTCATAAAAAATCTTAATTCAATTGTAGTGGATTTACAGTAATAAATAAATAATTTTCACCCTCACTGAATCATTCGACTGTTAAATACTGAGTGCGCTTCTTCGCTTTCATCAACAATTTTAAAATTCCTTGATACTAACTGCATTTATTATGGTGGATCTACACCCTCAGCGGTTGTGTGTAATTTCATTCTTGACAATTCTTTTCCCTTTTTTCTTCAATTCGTTCTTCCCACAAATTTCTTGACTTTCGTCTAGGTTTCGATTTTGTTAAGGATACCCTCTCCATCTTTTCCATATTTTGATTTTTCAAACTAACTTTTCACTATTGCCTCCATTGACGGTCTTCTTCAAAGTGTTCTCGTTTTTTCTGGGTCTGTCTTTACCTTCCAAAAGCTCGCCTTCACTTTCAGTATCTGATAACTGAGCGAGGTGTAGCTTAGAGTTTTCAGAACAAGACCTTTTGTCATCTGATAGGGACTTTTCGTCGGCGTTCTCTTCTTCCGCGCGGCAGTTACTAGTGCTTCGTCTTGCGTTCGACAAGAGAATGAGCTGGAGTTTCTCGCATAATTTCTTAAAACGATGAACCGGTCCTACAATTAAGAAGACAGAAAAAGAGTTAGCCTCTAAATCCGTCAGACTTTGATAGCTCAGTAGAGAAACTCTCGCTTATAATAAGCACTCATTGTTTGAAATTAGGAGACTAACTTTTTTTTCGAGAAAAGAAGGTGTAATAGTCTATTTCCTTATGAAATGTTATCGTTCGTGATCACATTACTAGCAAAGGTTACTGCACTCTACCAGCGGTCTCCCGTAAAGACGTCACGCCGGTAGATGGCGTAACGTGTTTATCTAGAGAGTAAAAAATATTCTTGATCGTCAGCCTAGTATTAATCATTTCGACGAGAACAGATGGAAATAACACACGGTCGCTTTGCGGTAAAAACATATCGAGCACAGTTGACAATCTGTTTCAGCGACATGTAAATAATTTATCAACGATTTTCTAGAATACTGACTTAAATTAAAAAACACAAGCAAGTTAATACCGGAAACATCTACAGTCAAAACAGTGTTAATATATTAATAACTCAATGAATTCAAGTCACGATCGCCAAAGATCAATGAAAACGCTTTCGTTTTTACATGGCAAACTTTATCAATACGTTTCTTTTTTCATTTTCTACAAAGTTACCTTAAACACTTAGTTTTTCATCCTCTGATTTTGCAAGAAAGCTAAGCTAAAGTAATTTACGAAGTTTACAAACTTGGGAATTTGTCATTTATCGGGAAAATGATTGGAAATAAATGTCCCTTGTTTGACGCACGTCTTGCAACATCTAGAAAAGACACTCGGTTTAATTACTACGATAAGAAATGGTTGAGTGCAAAACATTTTGGTTGGGCAAATGATATTTTTTGTTCCAGTACTAATCTCGCGATTATCGTACCAAAGCCTCTTGTAGCCTACGGCAGCGAGCTGTTTCGCGGGCGTTTTGACCGGCGGCTTATCCAAATGACCGCTGCCTTTATTCTAAGCAAGCGCCTAAAACAACCGTCAGCACAAGAGGCTAAATCCTTTCTTTTTACATTTTCAAACTCGCTCCCAGACACCAAAACAAGGCAAAAAACGAAAGAGCAGCCTTGCACAAAGTATGGCGGCAAAATGTAGCTTTGAAATGAAACCGCCATGACATTGGCGAGAATCTTGGCAGTTTCCTCCCATGAGTGACCAAGACAAAATTTCTCTTTAAAATATTAACACAATATCGAGCAGACAAGTGATGAGAATGAAGAAAAATATCAATTAGGGGATAATTAGTTGATCTAACGCCAAATTCTCGGAACTAACATCATAAGAATTGCATGGCAAACAGTAAGGAGAATCACTACTGAGATCTTGGAAGTGAGAAAGTTAAGCTTCAATACCAACCTGACTCAAGAACTATCGAGACCGTGTGAACGGAACTTTTATCTGCTCTACTTTGGTCTGTCGGACTTATATTCACAGATATGCGGACCGCCTTATTAAACATGGTCTTTCCTAGGAGAATGAAAGAGAAAAAGCAGATAAAACCAGGGGTTTAATAGCTTCTTCCAAATGGAGAGCCTGAAAGGGAGGGAAATCCAGAGGAAAAGATTTCACGAATCAGGCACAATAAAGATGGTGTTTGGTTTCAACAATACAGAGAAACTGAACTGTATCTTCAAATGTTTACATATCGACTAAAAAAACGCATCTTCTCCAGCTGGACAGTGGTATTTCTAAAGGACGATCTCATGCCTTCATTCAGCGACAGAGAGTAGGAGGGGTGGGGGGGGGGGGGAAACAGAAAGACTACAACTTCTTCCAATTTAACAATACAATTACTGAAATTCATTAACACCTGTCCAAACATACCTCCTGGTTTTTTGTATTCTGCCTTAAAGCCGTTTTGTGAGAGAACGGAGTGAGTTAAATGGCTGACCTACAAAACCAGTTACTCATTTTCAGTTCACTGAAACATTACGGCTTAATCGGCCACTGATATTGAATCATGGCTGCTACACACAGAAACAGGTATCAGTTAAAGACCATTTACAAGGTAGGAAAATCAGGTATGGACCTGTCAAATATCAAGGGAGTGGCAGGGACCCAGGTTCTTTCACGTTTTTAGGCCATAGTCACCTTTGGCCCCAAAACTTTAAGAAAGATAGGTACGTTTCTAAAAAACATATTGTTGACAGTTTACACCAAATTTTGGGCCCGTACTTCTTTCTTGGTGGGTCCGTCCCCGGGTTTTCCTACCGTGTAAACCGCCTTTTAGTCACCTATACTTGGTTACTGTCGGAGAGCTAAAACCAAAGTAAGAATGACGGGCATGGGGACCAGAACAAGTAAGACAAACAAAAGCCAATCTCCTTGTATAGGAGTGCTTAGACACTGGTGACCAAGACATTCACGGTTTTAATTTCATAACTGATTGGATTAGACCGTGGTACGAGGTTTCTAGATCGAGGACAGAGCCAAGTAGTGCAAAAACAAAGGAATTCCGCATTTCTAAATGACACTTTTTGAAAATTGCTTTGAAGAAAAACAGCTCTACCGACATTCAAGTTTTACTCACTGATAAAAATGCATGGACAACATCCGCTTTAACAGTGCTGAAAGGCTTTTCTCTTGTGACGATAAAGAAAGGCTAAAAGGACAACAAAAGAAGAGGAATTGGTATCAGTTTGAACAATAAGTATATCAAAGCGGAACGCGAAAGCCTAAAGAATGACTAACATTTCATTTCTCCTCGCAGTATCACTACTGAATAAAACACTAAGGTTTTGAGAATAAATGAAATGATCACCAACAAAAGACGCTCTTGATTGTTAAACAAGTTATTCTTGTCAGAACCATAGGAAATGTACAGAAAACAGAATGGAGATTATACATACATATGTAAGGAGCAAAGGATTTTGTGTACACAAGCAAACATTCCAAAAGAAGTTTTGTTCTAAAATTATACTGACTGAAAACTTACTGGTGCAACATCAACTCTCAATTAACTCTGCATCATTGAGATATAAATTAAAACTTGTCTTACCTCGTGTTTCGAGTGCGAGTTGTGGTGTCCTAACACTAAATGACCAAACCATGAACGTTTAACGATGCTGAATGAAAAAATGAATAAATAAATAAATAAATAAACAAATGAAGAAAAAGAGAGAAAAATCACCTCATTAAACGTTTAGAAACAGTGTAAAAGAATATAACCCCCTACTAAATTCATAACAATGAGTTGTATGCATGGGTTTGTCCAACAAGATGCAAAACGTTTATTAAACTAAAGCAATGATAACGAACAAATCGTTCGTTTCCTAACCTTGTGCTTTCCCTAGTTGACACTCGTATAACGTTTAAATAATTAACTTTTCAAAATCTGGCTCAGAAAATTCAGTTAGCCCATTTTTCAAAGGCCGAAAATCGACAAGGAATTTCTAAAACTAGCTTTCAGTTTCTGTTAACACCTCACTTCGGATAAATGACCAATCTTTCAATTCACCGCAATGTTGTTGGCGAAAAAACGGGGGCGAAAAGGGGGTGAGATTATTTGTCTTTCGACTTTACCAAAGATGCAGAGTTTAAACACTGAAACTTACTCAGGAGACGAGTCAGGCGAGGCGGACACTGGGCTGTTTTCTACGCAATCTAAGAAACAACAGACGGAAACAAGTTTATCATTCAATAGTATTTGAAGCCACCACTCTTCCTTTCATTAGAGGAAAGAAGATTTCCTTGTTGGGCTAGTCTACATCAATTTGTCTACTTTTGTTTTCTTAGCGTGAAGTCGGAAGACACATTAGCTCAGATGTTGAAAACTACTTGTGCTATGTCTATCGGCCAACTAAATAAAGTCAAAATTCTTCTTTACCAACAAGATAACGATAAAATCTAACAACCGCTGACCATTATAACGCAACCTATACGCTGAGTACAAACAGCCAAAGCTGTTTTTTCCCCTCCCCTTGCTGGTTTGTGTTTTCACTATACGGTACAAATGTTTACATTCTTGACGTCGTTCAATTCGAACTAAATGAAGTTCCCTTCAAGGGCTACAACTGCGCAAATTTTAGCCCGCAGCTCAAAACCTATCGCGACTTGGTTCCTCGCGTGGTAACTCTTTAACTCCAAAGAGTGATTTGCATCTAATTTCTCCTTACAATATCACCCCTAAATCACACAATAAAGGTCATGAGAATAAAGAAAATGATCACAAACTAAAGAAACTCTTTGATTGTTACACCAATTCTCCTTGTCAGCGCATCAGTAGATGTACAGAGAACAGTATGAAGAATATAAATACTGATGTTAAGGTGTAAAGGATTAAGGTGCCTCGGGGCGATTACTTGTTTTTATTTTGAGTTCGCGTTAGCTTCTTATGATATTTTTTTTTCTTTCTGATTACTTTGGTTTGGTTTTACCAAACTCAGTCGAAATGCGATTATTACCACGTAATGATTGCCAACTGACTCGTGTACATTAAAACAGTTTTCCATTGCTTAATATATAGTTGAGTAGAGAAGGAAAGGAAGCAAAATAGAAGACGTCTACACACAGTTCACCTTATCTGGCATCTCAATACCTACTCGATAACTTTTTTCTGTGGAATCTTGGCGAGCTCACAATCGCGTTCTTAAAAGTGGCAAGTCGTGTCCGCCAGGGGCTACCTGGTGGTGAGGTGGCGTGGTGCGTGGGTGATTCAGGAGGGGTAGACAAGGGACTTTCTTGTTGTTGCACGGTATACGGCTGATGTCGGGGACTCACTTGTACCAAAGGACTACAAACATTGAAATAAAAAGCAGTGAAACAATGGCAGACAAAGTTCCATGATGGAGAAGGTCCACCTCTCTAGGGAAACAAACAGAACACGAGTAAGTATCGTTAGCTGGGATAAAACAAGCACCGTGCGAACTGGAAAACTCCTTCTCAGTGCGGTGTGAATGCTCCAGTGCTATTGAGTAGTATACGTAGGCACTATGAATAACCAATCGTGTGAAAGGATTTTGCACCACCTAGTGTGCACTGCCTTGATGTGTTGCCGCCTAATCGAGATGATGAGAATTTAACAAATCAAATCGTTATCTTGGATGGCAATCTGGCCAAACTATTGGTTAATTTTGTACCATTTTGTACAAAATCCTGTACCCTTATTTACTATACCCTATAATGCACATCCCTATAATGCACATGTGTACTACTCTATTGATAATGATCCTGGTGCACCTGTAAACTAGTTGTACTCACACATGGAGGGGAATAAAACAAATGAAAAAAGTAAAGATTATACATGAGCAGATAAAGAAAACACATGAAGACAAATACGCACTAAACAGGTTATAATCTATCGCGAATATTTTCCTAATTCCATGATCTGAGGGAAAACGTTCCTTTGATTCTATGGTTGTCAAGATCAACTCTTCAGTCGATCCCGAATGCGCCTCCGAGGGCTGCAGTCATTTGACAATCGAAATTAAAAGGTCTAGTAAAACTGACAGCATTGCTCCATTTTAAGTAAAGATTCGATAAGGCTTTTGCTATATTGTCAAACAGCTCTACCTTACGACCCCGGAATAGGTTTCAGCTCTTGTCCTTGGAGTGACAGGCGGTGAAGCGGTCAGAGACGTTTTTCTGTTGACAGAGGATGGAACACATGGCAATGACTACAAAGGTTTTCAAGGGTGATAATTTTGCGGGTTTGGTTTGCAAAACTTGCGCCAGCCTTTCAAAAGTCAAATAATCAACGGGTCCATTCCCGATTTCCTGCACTTCCAGCACTTTAAATAATCAACCCTCAGTTCTCACCGGTTTCTCGAGTCATTAATCTTTCATCCAATTGGTTATCGTGTTAAAATTGCTTTTAATCCCACGACACTTATTCGAGATGCACTATACATCTCGAGTTTTCGTGAACCGTCATCGGTGTCGTTAATACCCTTTTCGTGAATATACTGACCTTGGTCGTTGTAATCTGGGAGATCCACAGGAGTCGACTCTTTTCCTTGGGGCGTCTTCCACTATAAAACAAAACAACCGTATTACAACGTGGGTCAGAACAAAAAGGGCAATCTGAAACACATCTCTTCAAAGGCTAAAATTCTGAATTCATCTGCACTTTTCCTTTTCCAAGCTACAAACAGCAAGCACACTAACACATAATAGGCCCACCATGAAGTTAATTTCGACTCCATGTTTTGCCTAACTCTATTAGGACAAAAATGATTTGTCAGAAGGAGCTACTGGGAATTTTAAAGCAACGTCAGATAAACTGAACAAAGACTCAGTCGCCATTGGTTTATTATTGCCTCTGATTGGTTGAGATGGCGCGAGTTTTCCGGACCAATCATACGGCGTAGTACAATAAAACCAAAACAATCTCAGATCGCTTACGACAATTAAATGAAAATTGCACTATTGCTAAGCAGAAAACCTTACAAATTTCTTTCAAATTCTTTATCGTCGCCACTGCAGAATCCTCGTGAGTCGGTGATCTCTCTTTCCTCTCCAGTAGCATGAAGTAGATGACTTTTTCTATCGTCTTTCTAAAGGATAAATGAATCCAACTTCAGAGTTTCTTCCTGAACGCGGCTTTGCGGAATTTACGCAAATCGACCAAAAATGCCGCATTAAATTTAAGTAGCGTCATATGAGGCAAAAAACATTGCGCCCAAGGATAACTACAATTTCTAAGTACTAAATTCATTTGATTTAATCATTCGCAACATAATTGACTACAGGATTGATGCTATGGCTGCTATATAGCCTCTCACTGTCATAACCGCCTTTCTATTTTACGCTTACTCACTGACAAGACTATACAGTAACGTTTCAAACACTTCTTCAGTTCTTACGTCCCCTTTCTTGAGCAAGGGCCCCCTAAAATTGAAGGTTAGAGGTGGAATGGTAAATTAACGATCAAATCTTGGGAGTAAAAGGGTTAAAACTTTAATTCCCATGATATTCGACGGCAACCGTTCAAAAGGACTTACTCTTGCTTCAAGAGGTTACGAAGAAGTCTCTCTCTATTCTTGAAACAACCCAAGGAAGACATACTGTGTACCACATCAGGGTCAATTTCATCTTTACTTGGGATAACTTCCGTCTGCATGGAAAAGAAAACATTACATATAATCATCATTAAAATAATCTTACCCACAATAATACTCAATGATATTCACACCGGATAACCACGTCGTTTCATAATCACTGGTTTAACTAAATGCAAAGGTTTTATTACTGACAAAGTATTCATAAAATAATGGAGTAAATCCAGTTTTTGGCACTATTTTCGCCACTTGAGGCGTAGGCCCATTTCTAAAACAATGTCTAGTTATCACGCCGATTAGTATTCGTGCAAACACAACTGTAAAACGTATTCGCAAATGCGAACGTTGTAGAGGCGAGAGGGTGTGCTTCAGAGTGTGTAAATTTTGCAGGGACATTAGACATATCTTCAAAATTGATCCTCTTAAGCATGACCAACGTTTAACCTCTGACCACGTTTTGCAGCAAAGGGCAAAAAGGGAAGTACCTTGACAATGTCGACAACGTGAGGCTCCAAAGGCAGTTCATCTTTAAAACTGCAAATAGATCACACACATTGAATTCAATCGGAAAAAGGTGTGTAAACAAAGAAATATAATGAGCGGCTCCACTAAGGAATTTCAATCTCTGTCTCCACCATCGTGTATTTTTCGTTGGCAATGACATAATCTTTAGTCTAAGAGCAATTTTCAATTGAGTGTTGAAAATTATCCTGGATTGATTAAGTTTTACTTTAATTCCCTCTGTGATTGGTTCAGAAAACTCGTGCCCCTTTCTCAACCAATCAGATGTAAAACTAAAAGCAATCACGACTTGGTCACTCGCGTTTTCCCGCGCTTTGGGCAGTTTGGTTGGCTTTACTTTGAGTAATCATTGGCTCTTAAAGGTATTTTCCTATTTTCTGATTACCTGTTGAGATTGTTTTAACTGGTTTTGGTTTTAAGACACTCAATCGAATAGCGAGCTATTGCCTTGCGCCAAAAATCACCCACCTGTTAAGAAAACTATGCTTCTTCACATCCTCCATCTACAAAACAACACGGATTACGCCATCAGTATCACTCTGGTAAGCTAAGAAATAAGATGATTTCCCTCATGATTTATCTACATCACTATCAGGGCAACAGACATTGTTACTCAACTGTAAGTCTTTTCGCTGGGTCTACATTGATCATCCCTCGGATCATGTCCTGAACATCAGTTGGTATGAAGACTGGGATGCTAAAATGTCCCCTCTTCACCTGGAAGAAGACAAACATGCCATGGAGGTCAAAATTTCTTGGGACAGTTATTGAAAACAAACCCTGTACCCAAATATATTACAAAAGACTACTTTTTGCCGATTCTGGCGTATACATAGAATAACCTCTCCCTTTTGTAATAATGTTTGTAAAACTAAACAGTCAACAAGTTTCGGTACGGTTTACGAGGCACACAAAATCCAATGTTGTTTGGGAGAGAGTGAGGGAGGGCGATTCGATATAAGCATTACCGCGTTACGTGAGAGACTTAGAACCAGGTGTCTAGACGAAAACTTTTTGAGGCTGGGGTATTACACAGTCGATGGACTTCAAGTTTTCTAATCTTCATGAAAAAAAAATTTTTGAGCGAAAAAAGCTGTCTCCAATCAAAGCCTTATACAACTTTGTTACTTCTCATAAAAATCAACGTTCACATAATGATGAACTGACTGTTTAGAACGCGGCTTTGGAAAACAACGACTGAACTTTCGTAACCAATGTAACTGGACTGTTCCTACTTGGCAGAGAAATTTCTTAAATCCCAGTAACCATTTACACCCTAACATCAGCATATGCATCTTCTCCATACTGTCCTCTACACAATTCATGAGGTACTGACAAGGAGAATTTGTTTAACAATCAAGAGCTTCTTTAGTTGGTGATCGTTTCCCTTATTCTTGTAAACTTAACGTTTGACTCTGGGGTGATATTGTAAGGAGAAATTAGATCTCGGTCACTATTGGGTCAAAGGATTAAAAAGTAAAATCATAGTAAGCACTCTGACCAGTAAGTACTATACACTCACTTTCTCCAACAGATTTCTTAAATTTTCATCATCAAAAGGAAGTGCTCCCTGAGAAGAAGAAGAAGAGTAGAACACATAAGAAAGAAACTTCTCGTTTGGTTTTCTTAGTTTTTTTTTTCTTTTAATGCAATTAAAAATTGCTAGATCTTTGATTATGGGAGTACATTTAACCAATCTGCAAAATGGTGTTGTGCTGATAATAAGAGTTTTATGAAAAGTTCCCGGTTCCCTAAACCTCTAAACTTGAGCATCTAGGGTACCCAACATATACTCTACGGTTTGTGCTGGGGATAATTTCCTAGTTCCCCAAATGTAAGGTGACGTATCTCTCAGTGGGTTACCAAGCACTGTTGGAGCATAGCCTTGCTGAATTGAAGGCATGTAGGCAATGGACTGGGTGACTTTGGCCACCTCTGCCACCATCATTCAGTTGAAAACAGACATCAACTAGAGGAGGGAGGGAGGGGGGAAGTAAGAGAATGAAGAAAATAGAAGTGTATATCTCACAAGTGGTGCAGCAGAGAGCTTTTCCCTTGACTGTCACAAAACAAAAACCAAAGTGATTGAAACAGCCAATCAGAAGAAAAGAAAAGATCACAAAGAGCCAATCAGAATGCAAAGTAAAATCAAGCACAATGCTGACAGACAGTGCTTTTGGTTTTGAATCTAACTGGTTAAGAGGATGGTACAAGTTTTCTGGAACAAGCACACAGCAAAGGAAAGAAAAACAAGATAAAGCCCAGATTACTTTTGACACTCAATTGTACATCTTTTACATAGGATAGATTGTGCTCTTATTAAAGTGATAACTTACAACAAGCAGAGCATAGAGGATAACGCCACAGCTCCAAACATCTGCTTTTCGACCATCATATTTTTCACCCTAAAATACAAATCACCTCACAAATTACATACAATGCAGATTGAAAAATGAACAGTATAAAACTATATTAGACAAGGCATACTATGAAAGTTTCAGATGGTACATACTCGAATGACTTCTGGGCAAGCATAATGTGGAGACCTGGCAGAAGATGAAAAAGAAAATACTTGAGAAATGACAAAATGACAGTTTGAAGTTGTCTAGCATGCACTTATAAAATGTGTATTACTATCATTTTATACAACATTTAAAGAAAGGATATAAAGTACAGTATATGTAGCATACCCACAGCTGGTCTCAAGCATGGCATTATCTCCAACCTGCCAATAAAATGAGGCCAAACATTGTTACAAAAATTGAATGTAAGCATGAACATTGTATGGCATTATTTTCATGATTTGTTTTTTGAAGGATCAGTCTGAGTCACATTATCTCTTGACTTGAACTAATTTTTTTACTCCTTACAATACCTCTTGCTATGAAGGAGTATCAATGGGCCACATCATTTTTTATCCCACCCCACCCTTGCAATGAACAGAAGGAATAGTCCCACCCCACCCCAACCCTCCCTTGCAATGGACAGAAGAATAGAATATATTTCCTTGGTCCACCTATAAACAGTTCTGGGCTGAAGAAGAATGGCAGGGCTGATTGTAATTCTCTTAAATGCATGTAAATAAGCCTTTCCAACCCCATAAAAACCATAAAATTTTAAATCAAAAGTGATATGAATAGGACTAATTTGCATGCACATGAAGGAAGAGTGGGAACATTTTCCATTATGAAAGAGGCAGACTCGAAGATTTAACCTCTTTTTTGATTAACAAAGACACATTTTCCCTTAAATAAGCACTGCAATTTCTGAGACACTTAAGAGTGACAAGCATCTAATTTCTCCTTGCAATATCACCCCTAAATCAAACATTAGGGTCACGAGAATAATGGAAAGGATCAACAAGTACAGGAGCTCTCGATTGCTAAGCGAAATCTCTTTGTCAGCACCTTAGGAAATGTACAGAAAACAGAACTGAGAATGTGTACACTGATCTTTGGGTGTAAAGGGTTAACAAAAATAAATAAAAAGACACATAATTGTCAAAATACTTTAGAATTATGTGCAACACACACAATCATATACCTGTAAAGATGCCATTCCAAAGTCTGCAACTTTTATATTCATCTTTTTATCCAGAAGAAGGTTCTCAGGCTTCAAATCTCTGTGGCTAAAATATACAACTTGAATTTAACAGGCAAAAGCCAAAAGTCTCACAATTAAGAGAAGACCTCTCCAAGAACATGATATCAAAACTTAACTTAAGAAATAATTCACTCAAGACAAGATTAAGAATTAATTTTAGCCTGTAAAAAGCCATTGCTCACATTTACAAGAAATAATTAAAACTTGACTGTAACATCTTGGAGATAAGTGAAACCAAACACGAGTTACAGTACATACATCATTAAAAGCGACATTATAGAAATTTTCACGTGCACTCTAATTGGCTGTCTATAAATGTACACATTTTCTTTGAACAACACCAAAAGGTAGCAGAAACATGAAAAGAAGTCAGGAAACTGTGAACACCAGAAATATTTCTGGAGTATTTAATGTGTTGAGAAGATCAGACCAAAATCAGAACATATCAAGTCTAAATGGTTTTTCTGAGTTTGAAAGAAAAGCTTGGTCAGTGCAAAAATATATGTTAAACATGCACTCACCAAACACAATGCTTGTGACAAAAATCAACAGCCGAGATCATCTGGGCAAAAAATCTTCTTGCCTAATTAAGAGAGAAAAATGAAAGTATGCTCCCTGAAAATTATTTTTCCAAAAGCAAAGTTAACATAAAAACTTTACACTTAACTTTCAATAAAGTAGGGTATAAATTACTCTTACTAACTGAGTTCAAGGGCCCTACTGTAAGTTACAGACCAAGTTTTTTCTGCTCAGATTTATGGCCCAAGCATGAAATGCCCAGGCCATACATTATGTGAAAAAAGCAAGGTTCTGTAACTTACAGTACAGACCAAGAAAAACAAGGTTAGCAAGATGTTTATTATATCTCTGGGTTAAAATAGAAGGGGGAAAGATTTCAATTCAAGCAGAATGGCCATTGATGATTGATGTGAATCAAATCTTAACACAATGCAGCAAGTATGTCCATAACATTTCCATCAACCTACTGTTTGCAAAACCCTTCAAACTCTCTCCACATATATTTTGTCTTTTCACAGTATTTGACGACCTTTTGAGTAGTCTTCATCGTGGATGGTCATCTTTCTTTATTTGCTACTTGTCTTCTTCAAAAAAACTCTAAGACTCCAACTGGGAAGTTTGGGAGCTTTGCTTTATTTTCTCATTTGCATAGTTTTCCTGAAATCTGTTTCAAATTTTTCTTCAAGAGACATATTGGCAATTAAAACAAACTTTTGAATTTAGTAGGCTGTACAGTGAAATATAGCCTGAGAGAGATATAATAATCCAAAATATAATTTAAACATGTTACCTCTCCCAGAGGAAGCCTTCCTCTCTTGACCAGGTGGTCAAAAAGCTCACCACCAGAAACATGTTCTAACACTAAAAATCTAAAAGAAAGAGCAAGATACATTTGAGTTTAACTCTTTATACCCTAACATCAGTATGCATATTCTCCATACTGCTCTCTATAAATTTCCTTAAGAGCTGACAGGGAGAGTTTGTTCCCCAAACAAGAGCTTCTTTGGTTGGTGATCAGTTCTTTTATTCTCATGACCTTAACCCTTTAACTCCCAGATCAAATTTGTAATTCTCCTTACTGTCAACCATATACTTTTTATAATGTTAGTTCAGAGAATTTAGTATTGGATCAACTTATTTTCCCCAAATTGATATTTTTCTTAATTCTCACCACTTATCTGGTTGACATTGTATTGACATTGTACTTGGAGAAATTCTGTCTATAGTCACTCATGGGAGTTAACCCTTTCACTCCCAAGATCTAATTAGTAATTCTCCTTACTATCTGCCATACAATTCTTATGATGATAGTTCAGAGAATTTGGTATTGGATCAACTAATAATCCCATGATTGATATTCTTCTCTATTCTCATCACCTGCCTGCTTGATATTGTATTGACATTGTAAGGAGAAATTCTGTCTTGGTCACTTGTGGGAGTGAAAGGGTTAATGAGTTTGGGGGTGATATTGTAGGAAGAAATAAGATACTAGTCACTCTAAAGGGGTCAAAAGAGTTAAATGATGAAAAAAAAGAAGAAAAAATTACAAGAAGTGTCATAATGATAGCTGAGGTCAGTAACTAGTGATTTCAATCAAGTATTGATGGAGTATCAGTCAAGTATCATGGCAGAAAAGGGGCTTATAGACAGAGGTAGGGGTTGGCCACTGCTAACAGGCTTTCAATGAAACACCTGGTTACATCCATCAACTATTGACCAGTTAGTCGATGAAGTGACAGAAGTTGCCACAATCCTTACGTTTCCCCATATCTTTATGTGGGACCTCTAAGATCTCAACAATTTGAGGACCTTGATATTATCATGGAAGATATTTGAAAGTTAACAATGGCAGAGAAAGCAAGAGTTTGGCAATATCAGTAAACTCACAGGTGTTTCTTGCTCTCATAAACATCGTATAGTCCAAGGACATGAGGATGATCGATAAGCTTCATGATGGCAATTTCTCTTTCAACCTGGAACAAAGAAAACCAAGATAAACACATGTGAATCAGCATCATTCAGCATGTGACAAATAAAAAATTGCATGTTAATCATTGAAATGCTATCAAAGAAATTTGTTCCAAAGCCATTTCCCAGTTATGAGTAATGTGTGAATCAATTCTACATTCTGAATTTGCTCAAAGGTTTGTGCAAACTTCATGGAACCCCTCAGACATTTACAGAGAGGTTTGGGAAACACTAAGCTGAAACTGCAGTGTTTATCGCATAAGAAAAACACACAGGAATGGCAGGAGCAATGCTAAAGTAGCATTGTACCGGTATATAATCTCTGCATTCATATCACTATGCCTTAAAGAGCACTTAAATCTGTTATTGTGCATGCTCTAAAATTTAAAAGCATTTTCTATTAAGTTTTCAAATTTTAAAGAGGAAGTTTAAGTCAAATGTAAAAACATTTAGAGAGGAAGTTTATCCCTTTAGCTCCCATGAGTGACCAAGATAGAATTTCTCCTTACAATATCAATACAATATCAAGCAGACACGTGATGAAAATAAAGAAAAATGCCAGTTAAAAACCAAATTCTCTAAAACTAACATCATAAGAACTTTACAGCAGACAGTAAGGAGAATAACTAATGAGATCTTAGAAGCAAAAGGGTTAAGTCAAATGTAAAACCACTCTCTCAGGGTCATAGTAAATAATCAACTATGTGTATTTCACGAACACATGTACCTAAATACTCTCTGAAAAAAAATACACTCTTTTCTGAGAAACATGCTGGTTTTTCCTTTTACTAGACAAAATCTGTGAACTACATGTTTATCCAGTACAAAAAAATACTTCTCTGGACTTCAATCAAACCTGTCAAAAGCTGAAAATGGACTAAGATAAACAAAACAGCGCAATTTTACTTTAAACCAAAAAAACACATCATGCACAATTATGTAAATAAACACAGTATGGTGGGATGACATGAATTACAAATGAATTTACACTATTCCCCAAGGTCTAATCCACATGTTCCTTTATGAAAATATCATGTCAAATGAATCAAACTACAATTAAAAACAGTGGTCAGTAAATTCCTTGATTACAATTTCCTTTCTGAGAAAAGGTTAATTTTCTTCAAGTTTTGAAGTAGATAGATACTACAAAATATGGATGGCCTTGGAAATCAAGTTTTACAATAAATCTGTGTTGTCTACTTAACCACATCTCGAGCTGATGATTCACACACACAAGTAGATGAGGAAATACTGTGGCAAAATCAGTGAAGCTTTTTACTTTGGACTGCATTAATAAGAAAAGCTGAATTCATACAAAAATCTACTTGTTTTATTCAATCAACAACTCTTACAAATGATATCATAATGGGAAATCAGAATTATTCACTTGATAAATGCAAATTTTGCCATTAAAGAAATATGTTCATGGTAAGCCAAAAAACACAGGTTCATCCTTTATTTCAGTCTATAATTTGGAAAAAAAAAATTGGGATCTATTTAATAACAACAGTATCTCCTATTTCTACTACTAAGAGGATATTAGATAAGGAAACTATTTCATAATTTTTTTACTTAAAAAGGACCAAATTTTATCATGTTTTTATTATCAGTGCAGGAAATTAAAAATAAGTGGTTTCTGTATTTACATCACACCATAGCTTAAGGTCATGCAATGCTTGAGAGACCAAAATCTTCACTTGAACTTCATGTATTTGTTTCATTAAGATAATCAACTGATGCTGGCTTTAAAAAATTGAAACTTTTACCAATACAATGTACAGAAATACAGTCTTGTTGTTGTTGATTATTTCAGCTTGATTCTAAAAATAACTTGAGGAATTATTTCCCTTGCCATTCATTTATGATAATGAATCATGTCCGAATTGCACATACAAGCACGGAAATACTGTAAAACATCAATCTGTGTAAACCTTAGATTCTCATCTTGTGAAGAATATTTTTTTGAGCCAATTTCTAAATTGATCCCAAATTTGACATTCATACCACATCATTCTGACTACAAAATTACCTTTTCACACAGCACAAAACCTCATATTTAACCTTAAGGTAAATTTAAGAATAATTTGCTCAAAAACCATTACAGAAGGTTCTTCACGCAAGATCTTAGTGATCTGTAAGGATGGCAGGGGGACCTGAGAAATTGCTTCTGGGAGAGATGGTGGGGAATTCGGCATCCTGAAGACCATCCCATTGAACAGGAGGCTTAATATATCATATTTACTTGTGTGAGCAATATCACTAGGCAGTGGACATTTTTCTTAAACATCAACTCAATTTAAAGCCCAAAAGATACATTTTTTTTATATACAGGAGTAATGGTATCAGCAGTACAACTAACTCAAGAAGAGAAAGTTAGCTTATGACAAAAAGGAGTGAAAATAGTCATCCCACCCAAGTATAGGTAAGAGGTTTCATCAAAAATTTTTTCCCTTAAAATTAAGACCCCAAGAAATGTTCTTATTCAATAAAGAACTTTTATAATAGCAGTATAATCAATACTGCAATATCTCCAGGAGATTACTGCTGTAGTGGAACAACACAAGCTCTGCAAAATCAAGTCTTCTCAAAATCAACATTTTGCAATAATTGCAACAAACATGAGCCTTAACATCATAAATGTAACTTGTATATAATGTATAAAATTGTAGCAAAAATGATTCTTCCTTGAAGAAGTTTTGCCAAAAAATAAGAGCACAGTAGGAATGAAGCACAAAAAAAACAACTTCGAGAGTTAACCATACAATCTTCTCAGAAGTAATAGTAGTGACATGACGAAATTTCTACTTCCTGCAGACTGTCTGACTAGATTTATTTGCACTTGATAATTTGATTTCCTCAATACAGCTTCAAGTGCGAACATGATGTACTATTCAATTTCCTTTATGCATCAAGAAAAACAAAACAAAACAAATTCTTCAAATCTGACAATTGGGGGCGCAATTATTACATGTACTATGCAAATATAGAAGAGCCCCGTTGTGATGGTGTTGACCGATGAAATGTAACAAAATTGACAAGAAATAGACATGTCGACAAGTTGATCATGTTCACACATTTCAGAAAACATGGTATATTTTGATGGGGAAAAAAGATAAATTTTTATCACCTTTTTAAATGAATTAGATTAGAGTACAAAACTTTTTTAAGTGAGACTCAAACGGCGAATTGAGAATTAGGTCAGACTGTGATTGATAGAAGTTGTTTACAAGGTAACGTTGAATCGATTTCAAGGGTCAAATTTGTACCACAATTTCGCAAACTCGTGGAATCTTACTGAGATCGTAAGTTCTCACATCGAACAAAATAGTGTTCTTCGGTTTCGAACTCTCGAAAACAACATCTGCATGTTTTGTAATAAAAATCCCCTAATTGGCCGGTTGACATAAGATAGTCACCCAAAACTAACAAATACAACGTGTAGATTAACGGAAGCAATTTCTAAAAATTCTAGCGTATGCAAAGAAGTTATTTATCCGGATAAGGTTCTGTTCCGAACCTAAATATTTTTTTCTTTCGCAAAAAGAAGCACTGTCTCCGAAATAACGTTTGTCAGTCGACGGACAAAGCGAACCATAAACCTAAGTTTACACATATTTTCTTTAAGGAATACAGAACACAACAACTGACAATGTTTTACTGTGAAATAGAAAAGGCGAATGTTTGTTTTGAGTTTTATCTTATGTCGAAATTACCGTCATCTGTCATGTAGTTGGCGGAAGAATTTATTTGTCACGGAAGATTTACGAAACACTTCAAGCGCACAAACTTGCTTAAAACAAAAAAAAAATTTTGACCCTAACCTCAATAAACAGGCTAAACGAAAAATATAGTCCAAATATCCTAGGGAAACAAAGCAAGCCTGAAACTCATCAATATTTCAAACAGGGAAGTTTTGGCAAAAACTAAGACGAAACTTCAGTGTTTATCGCTTCACTAGAAACAAACAGGAATGGTACGATACTACTGGCAAACGACGCGTAAATAAGCTGATTTACTTCTCGTATTGCACAAGGATGTTGGCTGCAACGTAATGAAGATAACCCCGTTACAAGATAATGTGGAAATAAATGGCGATCTGTCAAGCCGTTTGTTATTTTCATCGCACAATCAGATGCAAATTGCATGTTTACATCGTCGGAATATTCTAGAATCTTTCAATTTTCCCTAAAGTTCTTATTTACGTTGAAACAACCAATTTGTGAGAAGTTCCTACCTTGCTTAAAACTTGCTCGCTAAGCTTCGTACGGTCGATAATTTTAACTGCAACTTTCTTCTTGGTGACACAGTTAATTCCAAGTTTCACGAGCCCTGTTGAAATGAAACAAAAACAGTCAAGCGAGCTGTAATAAAAAAAAATGAAAGTACAAAATTTAGAGAGCGCGAAATCATTGTTCGTACCGGTTTGCCCTCTACCCAAAGTTCCTTCGAGAATGTAGGGTCCCACAGACCGTATTTCAAATCCTGCCATGGCAAATCAAAATTTTCAACACTTGTGGTGCAGAACTGATTTATAGAAACGCAAATACTCCCCAAATCTGCCGAACTTCAGCATCATTTCGGAAGCTGTGCGATATTCTCAACAAAAACTGGCAAACTCCAGCTTTGAAAAGCTTCAGTTTGAACCTCATTATACTACATCTGTCAATCAAATCCTATTGTTCCCTCATTGACTGTGATTGGTTAGCGTCCATTTTCACAAACAAACAACGAACAACCAATTTTTTTCGCGGCAAATGAGCTGGGATCACGGTTTCGTTCCCGCACCTGGCCGCGAAACGATATTTTTAGGCGTATTTTTTTCTGTGTTGACAAGAAGCTTGCGATTTATTTAATTGAAATGTTATTTTCACCACTTTGGTATTCTACACATCGAAAAACCTCCAATCTGAGAGGCAGATGTCTCTATGATAAAAAATGATAAGTTAAACCAATTCAAGAGGTCGTAAAATTTCTGTTGCAATATGAGGAAAAATGTAAATTTGACCAAAGTGGCAGTGTTTTTTAAAGAAAAATCTATTTGTTTGGCACAAACGTCATTTGGCTTTCTAGATTTAAACCTATTGCAACTTGTTATTACCACAAATTTAAATGAAATGATAAGATTTAGTCTTATGTAGTCACGCAAATACAAAAACGCCGAGAAAAAAAAAGCAGAAAAATTTTTTTCATTTTTCTACCCTATGGTATTTAAAAAACGTATATTTGGGAAGATTCGAAGGTATCATAGAGGTCAGAGTAAAGAAGATTTCTGACAAGCAAAATCTAGTATACAAGCTGCCGACACCCATTAGTATTTCGGATTCCCCTCGTTGTAATAATTTAATTATACCCACAAAGTCTCACCAGGAAAGGTCAAAAATAATAATACAGCAATTATGATAATATTAACAATAAAATTGTAATGAAAGTATTAATGTTAAGTGGCTCCTAATTTGAATATTCGAAGATCGCGCTTAGAAGTTTTTATCCGGCTAATTCTATTTGCATCGCGACTCTTTCGACATTGCTGATCAAGAGGAGTGCGGGCGCTTGTCTAACCGGCTATTTAACTATATGAAATATAAATCTTCCGTTGAAATTAACTTCCCTCTGGAGGACTTGGTCTAATGATCACTAAGATAAAAAAATTCTTAAATATGAGCAAGAGTTGATTTTCCTCCATAATTAATCGAGGTCATTCGCTCTCTGACCCGTTCGTCGATCGATTTGAAGTGCAAAAGAGTGCGACGTTATTAAAATTTAAGCTCCGAACCACTTGATTTAAGCCAGGTTGTTGGATCTTAAGACCACTGAAGATAGATTTTCTTGCAGAGGCACCAGATGCCTTGCGTTGGACCACGGCGGACACCAAATTCCCACAACCACCCTTCCCCAATCTCAGCATGCACCAGCATGCATCCTTTGTTGTCAGTCTGTTGCTAATTGTAGTGTTAGTAATCGCTCAGTATTCTAAGCAGCAATGCAGCTTCACAACCTATTTATGCGTTTTTCATCGCCAAGTCATTATTCTGAGACAAATTGTTAAATGCCAAAAAACTCTTTCTATTACTGTAGGGCGTACAGCTTCGTTTCATTCCTTCGCAAATGGTACATCTAATAACGAACATAAAGAAAATCCTACGACGGAAATCTGATAAATCCTTGATGAGGGGGAAAGGTGGGTTTCTTTGTGATAGACCAAGTAGCTCAAGTATGCTTCATAGGACAGAAATGTTCAGCTATATGAGTCAGTCTTACGAGCAGTCTTCCTACGGAAATAATAATTGATGATTCATTGTGAAGTCAGTGTGGTTACAGTAGGTTGTCTCCTTGACGTTCTAGTTTATGTTATTTAGCTATTGAACCAATCACAACTCTAAAAACATTGGCCAAAATTGTCGGCATTGACGTCAATACCTGCCAAGAGTCATAAGGATCTCTTGTATCTGCTAAAAGCATCGATATGATGTTCACATGTTTACAGTCATTTATTCATCTCTTTACTGGTTTGCTACGAACCAACATTATGACCAGCTCTCAGTTGGCCTGTTAGCTAAGTTGGTAGAGCACTGCACAGGTATCGCAGAGGTGATGGGTTCAAATCACTACTGCTTAAGTAACGTTCATTACTGCGAAGATTGCTTTCAAATTCATTTCTATAACCGAAGTCCGCATATACGATTTCCATATATTTACAGTCATTTAAAAGCATTCAAGGTTTTATGATCCACCAAGGGGACAAAGAAGCGTTAGGAGTGATTTTATAGTAATCAATAAGAGAGCAATGTGACAAGAAGGCGAGCCTTTTTCGATTCGTACTTATTTATCTGTTACACAAATTATTTGTTAGCAACTTCCATGATTTGTAGTCTGTGCTAAGCTCTCAGTCAACGGAAACAATCGAGAAATGCGCTGTCCTGATTGATCAACCACTGTCTCTACTTGCCGCTTCCAGGGCCAGGGCCTGGCGAAAGCCAACAACCTAAAAGAGACCATCAAATGTATAATATTCTGACCTGGAAGGATAGCCCTATGATTACAATTTCAAGCGATTTCCTCCCGAACAATAACTACTTCAAACTTCACCCTCTTCCCTCTTCCTTCTCGACTGAAGTTCTCTCGCTCAAGTACTTAAGTGCTGTTGGTGGATCTTAAGTCTCTTGATGGGTTATGAATATTTTAGCGCAAATATTTCAGCCAAACGGAGCTTTACAAAGCTTTTTGTACTAATTTATGTAAGTTCAGTTGTCTTTTCTCTGGTATAAGCAACCATAATTTGTTATGTTATCATTGAGAAACAAAACGCGATCTAGAAAGGCATATTTCCTAAAACAAAACTGGCGGCCGCTCTTTGCGTACAGGAAGGTGTGAAAGACACTATAGCAGATATAAACCAGTTATACATTTTATATATGTTTGCGAATTTCCCTATAACCTGTTTAAAGCACCGCACTCCATCCAACGGAAACTGGGATCAAACGCCACGCGACCACGTTGTGCAAAAATATTTAGCCAGCGGGGTAGTTTTAGAATGCCATCCAAGATGGCGGACCACGAGACTGTTCTTCTGGAGGTAATAAACACCAAGCACAAAAAGACCGGTGGAACCTTGCGTCTCATGTCCAATGAACTGCTTTGGATACCTTACGGATCAGATAATCCTAAACTGTCATGTGCATACTCTGAAATCAAAGGTAAAATTGACCAACCGATTTGATTCGATTGAATTATTGAAGTTATGTCACGTGTACGGCCTGTCTTCATCAGCCGGTATATTGCTACTGATCCTACCATGTGATTATAATTCGAAAAGTGGTGCGTTGTATGATATCGTGTTTCGATCATTGCGCTTGTAGACTGATGCTATCACTGGAGTTTTCTTTCCTAATATTACAATCGTCCAGTTGTTGGGTCGATGTTAACTGCATTAACCAATGGGTCGCGGATGCCATGACATGGAAATAGGGTTGAGAGTACATCATATATGCATGGCTATAGTTTTAACGCCTCGAAATGTACGGTTTTATACATCATTTTTCACATGTCCACACTCTTCTGATCAGATTCAACTGAAGGACTCTGTTTCCCTTCAGCTTTTCAAACGTATTCACATTTTTTCTCACTTTTTCCTTGTTTTTAGTGATTAACCATGCTCTCCGTCAGGTTCGCAACATGAGAATTTTTTAAATTTATGAGCCAAGGGTGGACTTGTACAATTCTTCAAGTGAAATATCCTAGCATCCCTACTGGGGCCAATTAATTCTTGTAAACCAATAGGAGGTGCACTCTGTTGTTTTAATCAACCATTTACACCCTAACATCAGCATGCATATTCTCCACACCATACATTTCCTAAGGTGCTGAAATGGGGAATTTGTTTAATAATCGAGGGCTTCTTTAGTTGGTGATTATTTACTTTACTCTTGTAACCTTAATGTTGGATTTGGGGTTGATGTTGTGAGGAGAAATTAGATGCTACATGTACAGTAGTCTCTCTCAAGAGTTCAAATGCTTAAATGGAGGCTCAATGCAACAATTAGTGCTAAGAATTTGACAAATGGAAATGTGTATGGTATCTCTGTTATTTTATAAAATGATACACTCTATCTGATGGTTTACCATGCACCACCTATGGATATTGTGGGAGTTTTCCTAGAATTTTTCTGAGCCCCTTTAAGAGCAAGGTAAAATATGAGCAGTGAGCTCCACCAAATGAGCTTGTGTCAAACTTGTGTGGCAGACACCATTTTCCATAAAAAATTGACAAAATATAAATAATTCAGTGACTGAAGTGGTATTTAACCCTTTACACCCTAACATCAGTATACATATTCTCCTTGCTGTTCTCTTTAAATTTCCTAAGGTGCTGACAAGGAGAATGTGTTTATCAATCAGTATGTTTTTAGTTGATGATTGTTTCCTTTATTCTCATGACTTAAATGTTTGATTCAGAGGTGATATTGTAAGGAGAAATAAGATGCTAGACACTCTTAGGGGTCAAAGGGTTAATAATTCCACTTATTGTTCTTGGTGATGTCATAAGTAAAGAATAAATACCAAATTTATGAACAGGTTGTCTAAAGCAATAAGTTCTGTCAACAGTTCAACGAATAAGTCCAGAGGGCAGCTCAAAAATTCAGATACAGATTGTTCTCCATGATGGAAACTCCTTCACTTTCCAGTTTACAAATGACTCAGCCGTAAATGCCAAAAAAGAAAGAGATGATGCTAAAGACCTCCTTGCTCAGCTTATCCCAGTCCATCGAAAAAAAGCCAATAAAGAGCTTGAGGAAAAGAACAGGTAAAATTTTGAAGTTATCAAAGCTATATTTTGTTTGATATGTCAGGTTGCATTTGATGATCTTGTGAGGTAGTGGCTAGAAAGTTGTCCAAGACAGTTACAAACTATTTATGGGAAAGAGGTATCCATGGGAACTCTTCAAGTTGTCAACACTATACAAAGGCATTGTTATGCTATATCATTCAACTGTCAGTGACTACCAAAAATCCAAATACAGTTCTTGTAATTACCTGGAAAAAGATTAGGATTTTGAGTAAAACATTTTCACAGTTCAGCCATCAAAATAATTTGAACGCAAGACATCATAATAAGATTGCAAAGTACTTTTAAGGAAGGGTCATGTGTCACCACTGTGCTGCTCATTAATTGTCTGAAGGTTAACCTTATCTGCACTCCACATTGAAGAACAATACTTTAAAGAAGAGGGTTACATTGAAGTAGAACTTACATGAAGTTCCTCACCAGGGGCAGATCTAGGATTTTCAAATAGGTGGGGGGGGGGGGGGGGAGGGGGCACCACAAGTGCTGTTAAGTTGCAGGCTTTCGAGGGGAGTCTGGGGGCATGCTCCCCCAGAAAATTTTGAAAATTTGAGTCTCTTAAATGGCCATTTCCAGCATTTTAAGACCAATTTCTTGCTCATAAGCCTCTTTAAAATGATGAATTAAAAAACCTAATTCACAAAGAAATAGGTTTAGCATATTGTCAAAAGGGAGGGTTTGAGCATCTTGGTCCATGGGGATTGGTGTTTTGAATTTGAATGTGTCTACTACTGTGATTTGACTTTGCCTTGACTGTGTAGCTTTGACTCCCTAGGACTTTGCTCTATAAATACTTCCTGGAATCAGTGAAATTGGAGACAATTGTTTACTAAGCTGAATCTAGCTCTTCATGAGGGCTAGGTGAGCTCAGTCTTTTGTCCATGAGTAATACAACCATGCCATGAGCCAGTCAACTGTTAAAGAAACGACTAACGAAAAAAAAAACAATTATATCTTGTCTCGTGTTTACAACAACTGAACTTATAGTAATACACATCATTGGTGAATAATGTCATCAGTTGCATCACCAGGGCGTCTTTTGACAACTAACTTTTAAGAAATAGCTTTATATCAGTAATGTTGCATTAGAGCAAGGTAGAATAGTTACACTGCAAAGATTTGGGCCACAACTGATGCCGGTTACATCTTGAAAGTTGTCTGATAATATTTTTTAGAACCTTTCTTACAGTGAGAGTTAGTTTTGATTTGAAAAAACTCAGTTCAGCACTGATATTAATTTTTGGCCCACCTAAAAGGAGGTGGCATGGGCTCCCCATGCCTCTCCCCTTGAGTCCGCCACTGCCCACATTGTCCTTTACTTTCAGAGAGGTGATATGGCAGAGGTATCGGCATTTTAATACCAAAGATGATTTAAATGCTGTCCTTTGAGGACAAGTATTTTTTATCAGTAATCATATTAGTACAGTTTAATTAAAGATCCTCAATGATTGAGGTATTTGATTAATTCAACCTTACATAAATGAAGTTGGTAACATAAACTTTTGCTCTTGTTTATTTATTTCAGAATGCTGAAAGATAACCCTGAGTTGTATCAGCTGTATAAAGATCTAGTTGTCAGTGGAGTTATTACTGCTGAAGAATTCTGGGCAAATAGAGCAAAGGTAATAGTATAGTTTCCAAAATATATTTTCATGTATTGTCCCTTTTCCTCTTGGGAACCTTTAGCAAACCACAGCAATTAGGACATGGCAAAACAAATATTTAATGAGCAGAACAATTATAGTTCAGCATGTGTGTTTTAGAACTGTGTTCATTTCTTTGTGGTCCTCTGCAAAATAACAACATGAAATCATCAAAATTTGGGTGGTCTAAGAGAGGAAACCTTGAAGGCAAATTATTAAAGTTTCCATGTGGAACTCAACGCTGCTCTTATACATTATTCTGATGTTAACTTGTGGCACCAGAAAATAGTCACACTACACACATTTATCCATTCGCAAAATTCTTAGTAAATATAAATGTATATATATTTTTAATGGATATTTACTTTGGTATTGCTGTTTAACTGTGAAAGGTCTTTCATGTTCATCTGTGTACAGTCCTTTGGAATCTCTTTGTAATGTATCAAGAAAACAGTTATAAGGGATTCAGGGGTACACCAGATCTTGACGGATTCCAACTAATGGGTGACAGCATTTCATGCAACATGTTAAGAAACTACTGAAAAGGACTGTCTCTTCCAAGCCCCTTGTAATGATTAAGTTTTGAGACTTCAGATTCGTGAAGTTTTTTCAAAGATCACACAATCAAACTAAGGGGCCTCGTCTGACAACCAAATAAAGGTATGCTGTTTATTACAGTGTACAGGTAAATTTCTCACATACCACCCAAAGCCACTCTTAGTAGTCTTTTCCCCTGAACAGGGGTGGCAAATGATTAGCATCAGGGCTGTTAATAAGGGTTGTTAGCCTTAACACCTGTTACAGCTGAGCACACTTGATGGTGTGAGTGAAGAGGTCAATTGCTGTTGAGTTACACCTGGGCATGTATTACACAGTAATGGGTGTTATCTCCTATGTAATGGCTGCTTCAAAACTTAGTGACAGCCCTGAGCAAATCCTTGTACCATAAACAGAGACAATTGCCTCATCTGGGACAAACTTGGACATGTAATTGTTCAAATAAGACACTGCAGTATATCCTTGTGTTTACGATCTTGACAGCAGTTGAATGATGATGATGATGATGATGATGGTGACTATGGAGCATGCAACACTAAAGTTAAAGTACAACAATTTGCAATATGTTTTTTTGTCTTTTCCTTGCAGAATCAGGACACCCAAGTAGTACAGTCAGACCAGGCTATTGGTTTGTCTTCGGCATTGCTTGTATGTTGAATATTTGTTGAATACATCTACATGTACTGCTTATTTCTTTAGAAAATATTTTTGCATGACAATTTGTCCTGTTTGAAATTATTGAATTATCTCTTTATTATTTAGAATTATGACAGTTGCTGTTATGAAACTGGTGTTTGAAATTCTGTTTTGTTATTCTTTAGGCAGATATGCAACCAGAGAGCTCAGGCTGCAATGAAGTCAAATACAATTTAAATGTGGATACTATAGAGGCCATATTCAAGACATATCCAGCTGGTAAAGAGTTAGACACATACAGTTTAAATATTTCAGTGCTCCAAGCTGTGATCAAGTCTTAAAAAATTTTGGTGGCTAAATTTGCAGCAAAAGTCAAATTGAGGACTTGTGTTCTGTGGTCATGTAGCAAGTTGTAAATGTTTTTCTCGCTTGGTGTTTTTTGTTCAAATTTGAAGTAACATAAACATTTGTATGACAATGAATAATGTTGCTCAAAATGCACTCTTATATTTTCTAGGCAACTAAAATTCTATTACTTAAAGCCCTTATTGGTAAAGGTCTTAGACAAAAGACACAGTGAATAACAACTTGTTGACTTATGTAATTTATGATAAAACTCTCCCTCATTAGTTAACAGAAGAATGTTAAAGAATTTTTGTAATGATAAATGGCTCTATGATTGATAATCACTCAAAACAAGATAGGGTTAATTTCCAGGGCATAACCATTCTTAAATCAATTAGTAAGAACATTTAGCAGTGAATTACTTATCAATTAATTACTAAAATAGTTAATTAATTATTGGCTGTTTCAATCTATTTTATGTAGTGAAAAGAAAACACCAGGAAGTTGTTCCTCATGAGGTATTTGTCTTATGTTGAGAAATAGAGGTTATTCCATGAAAATTGCACTCAAATGATTTTCAATTCACAAGTTACAATGCATCAAAAGAACGAAAGAGTGAGCACAATGAACGAGTGAGTTTTTTATGCATTTCAGCAAGTGAATAAAAAATTGTTCAAGCGCTTTCCATGGTATAATGTTTTTATTTCATACATACTGAAATTTACACTGTGAAGTAGGCTGACTGACTGAAATACATTGTTTATCCAATCAGAGGCACAAACAATAGTACTTCACAGTATAAATGTCAGAATGTGTGAAATAAAGTTTTACTCTCTGATGAGCTTATTTGTGGAAAAATCACAGAGTGTCCATTCTTTCATTTTGTATGAGTGGTTACTGTTGACTACTGACATTCATCTTTGATTGTAAATACAAAGAAAGGTGTAAAGATCCCTTCGTAGATGAGAAATACCTTTCTAAGTAGCACCTCATGTTCTTTTGAAGAAGGCTTGTGCCAGGCTTTAGGTTGATGGAAAAAAGCAGGAAGGTGCATCTTGGTGAGAGTGTCATTCTACTACTATATCCCTCGACAACTACTTAGTGCCTTTCACCTGATACAGTGCTTGTTTCAACTTACAATGAGTGTGGGAATGTCTATTTTGAATATAATTTTAAATATTCAATTATACCACTTTCTTGTTTCCAGATGCCAGAGAAAGACTTTTGGACAAAGTTTTTTCAGTCACATTATTTCCACCGAGACAGAAATGCCACAAGGGCAATGTCAGGTGACATCTTCACTGAATGTGCAAAGGAGGATGAACAGGGTAAAAGAATGATAACCTTCCCTTCCAGTCAAACTAAAACAGAGGATAACAGGATAGTTTAGTATTATCAACAGTGAGTTGATAAGTAAACATAAATTGGCCACCTTAAAGGATTTAAAGCTGATGTTTCAAGTGTTAGCCCTTCGTCAGGGCAAATGATGAAGGGCTAATGCTTGAAATTGCAGCTTTGAAACTCTTTATGGTGGCCAATTATGTTATCAACTCAGTTGATAAAACTTAATTACCCTGATGTACTCTCCCACTGACACAACACCACAGTTTCTTTAGAAACTTCTCTTAAAAAAGAGGATGATGAACCATGGCTTGAAGATGTACCATTGCTAAAGTCTAATCAGTTCTATTTTATTTACCAAATGTGTTTTTTAGTATTATCAACTGAGTTGATAACATAAATTAGCCACTGTAAAGGGTTTAAAGCTGATGTTTTAAGTGTTAGCCCGTCGTCAGAGCCAATGATGAAGGGCTAACACTTGAAACATCAGCTTTGAAACTCTTTATGGTGGCCAATTTTGTGGATCAATATCAGTATCTGAGCAACTGCCCACCTACCCCTCCCCTAACCCAACATTAACCCTAACTTGTTATCAACAGACTGTTGTTGGGTTAAGGGAGGGGTAGGTGGGCAGTTACCCAGATACTGATATTGATCCAATTTTGTTATCAACTCAGTTGGTAAAAGTTAATTACCCTGTTGTACTCTTCCACCAACGCAACACCACAGTTTCTTTAGAAACTTAACCCCTTAAAACAGAGGATGATGAGCCATGCCTTGAAGATGTGCCATTGCTAAAATCTTATCTATTTTATGTGCCAAATGTGTTTTGTGTGGCTGACAATCGGTAATTATCAGGAAACGTCAATAAGAGACTGGAGTTTAATTCGAAAAGAGGTATTCATTTACTCTGAATTTTGTGTGATCGTTAGGAGAGGGTAGCAAGGGAAAGCATTCTTGTTCCTGACCTGTGTTGGTTTTTCATAAATTCTTCATTGGAACCAAATGAAAAACTGTTTGTTGTCCATTTGTTGTATCTAAAGGCAGTTTAAATCAAGGTGTCTTACACCCTTCTTCTACACAGAGCAATTGTCAAGGAAACTTGCAACCTTCAATGATCCTTTGTTGGACTTAACAGGAGCGTCACCAGTTCCTGAAGAGGTCTGTAAACAGTGCTGTGATCAAGTATAACAAGAAACGAGTCAGTGTGCGCTAATTATTTGTTTTTTATTTTTTCACGACTTTGAGGAGCAAATTATTAATTGTCTTTCTTCTTTAAATAGGGATATGGACTAACTGCAGAAGCGGTAGATCCCAAGAACAACGCAGTAACTCAGTCCTTGTTTAGAAAGCTGAATCACCACAGTTTAATGGTGGTACAAGCCACAGCTTCTGGGTAAGAAGTCACAACATAAGTGACACCATCAACATGGTGACACACTCGCCTCTGCCTCGTTTGTCTCTTATTTGATTTAATACTGAACAGATTCATTATAATTTTGTACCATTCTCCTCAGTTCCAGCGTAAACAAAGAAAAGGAGAAAAATGGAAAGAATGGCAAAATGAATGAAGCAGATCCCCCTGCTAAAAAGGTTAGCAAATTGTTCCTGCCAGTGGTTCTCCCTCTTTAACCAACGTAGAGGCTCTGTGCATGTAACAATTTGTTTTCTAATTTTACTGAAGAGGGAAGCATTTTATCACCGCTAAAAGGAAAATATAGGGAACGTTGGGGAGGAATAAGTCCTTGTCGTCTTAGTTAAAGATTTAACACTCACTTCTTAATGAGAGTGACAAACTTATCAGCTCAGTACTTGACTGAAAGGCTAATACTCAACTTTTTGTTTTGCATAGTTTTCTGTCTGAAAAACAAATATACTTCACTAGTACTAAGTTTCATGTACTTTTTAATTTCTATATTTTAGAGTCGTCTCAGAGGAATGGTGGAATATGACGATTTGTCTGAGCAACAATCCAGAGAGCTCCCGAGCTTAAAAATTGCTGACTCGTCAAAGTTTTCGCAAGGTCTCATACCGGCTATCCCAAAGGTAAGACAATCCATGGATCAATTTTCAATTGAGCAGCAAAAGAAAGCCGGGCTTCGTTCGGGTTTGCTTTGCGACGTGGTGAGATTGGTCGAGAAAACTCGCTCCACTTTCTCAGCCAATTAGACTCAAAACTAATAATCTATCGCGACGTGGTCACTCTCGTTTTTTCGCTCTTTATGACGCATACGTATAATTGCTTTGAGTTCTCGTTGGCTCGTTGTGTCATTTTTCTTTGCTCTGATTGGCCGTCGTGATTGCTTTCGATTGGCTTTACGACAGCCAATCGGAATACGCAGCATAGGAACGTGGCATAGGGTTTTCTATACCAAGCTTTTGCAACTGAGCCTCTTTTTCAGTTAGGTATCAGTTTTAATTTGTTCATAATGTAGTTTCGTCTCGATTTCTACAGGAAAGGGGATCAGTTCACTCCAAACTCAGTCATACAGACATTTCCAAAGCCATCCAGAGTAACCAAAGGGAGGTTGAATATTGGCGACCAAACCTACCCGGGGTAAGTAGTGTATGCTTTAAATGCCCTCCTAAGTCACATTTAAGAGATATTATCTTGTTAACGTGGGTGACAGAAATAACGCAAAGCCTTTTTCTCTAGCGCCGTTAGCATGACAAAGGTAACGCAAAGCCTTTTCCTTTGGCTCTGTTAGCGTGACGAAGGTAACGGAAAGCCTTTCTGTTGTACTCCGCGCAAGGCAAAAGTGAGGTAGAGCATAATTTTTGGCGTAGTCGAGTGGAACACAAAAACTTTGCTTTTGCACTGTTGTGCGTGTCTGGTATAACACAAACCATTTTCTTTGGTGCTATCGTGCATGACAAAAGTAGAGAAAGGTCTTTTCTTTTTGGGTCGTTGTGTGTAACCAAAACAACGGAAAGTCTTTTCTTTTGCGCTGTTGTGCGTGATAAAAATAACTGGGAACTTTTCATTGTTACTGTTTAGACTCTTCCCAGTGACATGGCTTGTCACGTCCTTACAGAAATGTCCCCTGGTGGATCTTTGATGAGCACAACTTCTGAGACAAGCATGCAACGTAAATATGAAATCAGTGCAAATTTTGAATAGAATGTCGAAAGTAATCTGTGATTGCATCAATGTCATTAATATCTACTCGAACTGATTGATTTATTGATCGATTGATTGACTGACGGACCAGCTGACTGACTGACTGACTGATTCTCTAATTGACTGACTGACTTACCGACTGTCTGACTGACTGACTGTCTGACTGACTGACTGACTGACTCTAATTGACTGACTGACTTACCGACTGTCTGACTGACTGACTGTCTGACTGACTGACTGTCTGACTGATGGACTGAATAAATGATTGTTTGATTGGTTGATTGCTTTGCATTGTGTAGCAAACTCGTGCTACCCTCTCAACCGATCAGATGTAAATGGAAAACCAGTTGCGTCTTGGTAGCGTACGTGTTCCTGAGCTCACTCTGAGCATTCATTTGTTTCCTCTGCTGTTGTTAATCTTTGCTCTAATTGGCTATGGACTTGTTGGCTTGGACTACCATTTTAATGAAAACGATACGAAAACAATTTGTCAACCAGAAACATTTCATCAGTCTTAATGGCAAAAACGACGTGTTTGACAAAATTTCTGGATTTGCGAGAACGGCTTTTTAGATACTCTGAGTTTTCTAGCGTTTGTTCCATCTTTCATCGAGGAGAGAATATTTAACTGAGCAGATTTTTTTTTTGTTTTAACATACAGATTTAGTGTCTTCGTCAGTTCAGGCGGAAGTTAAGCTTCAGTACAACTCACTGTCCGAGCTGCTGAGACACTTTTGGTCATGCTTTCCAATCAAGACACAATTCTTGGAGGAAAAGGTGAGACAAGCTCGGGTAATAAACTGTAAGGTTTTTTTCCTAACAACCAGATGTCAGAAAGGCAATAGTTGGCTATTGTATGATATTTAACTGTATTTCCTCAAATAAGTGCCCACGCTCTAATAAGTGCCCTTCCCCGAGTAAGCACCCACCCCTAAGCGCCCCTCTCGAATAAGCCCCCTCGGTCCCTCCTCCCTCACTTTCTTAAATAGTAGGGATACAAGCCTCTACTCTCACTTTATTTAAAGCTTTTTAAGCTTCAGAAACAGTGGAATCAGTGTAATAGAATGATAAGCGCACCCCTCGATTAAGCACCCCCTTCCGATAAGCGCCCCTCCTTATAGCCGAAATTTGAAATAAGCACTTAGGCACTTATTTGAGGATATACATTATTCTTGTTTGTTTTTTACACAACGTGATGTAAGTTGACATTCATATGCTGAGATGAAATGGCTTGATGTGTGAATTCTTGGTTAACAGATGGTTAAAATGGGCCAAAGCCTTGAAAAGTACAGAGATGCCAAGCTGCAACAATTCCGCAATCAACTTCCCGCCGAAGAGGCTCATGTAAGGAAGAATGTTAAACGTTTAAAGCTTCGTGTCACTGCAGTGTACATTCGCCATCGTGCGGTCCTTTCTAATCTTTCAGTTTCACTTAAATCTGTCATAAAACTGCGGATTAGATCAGTCGTTACTCCTTTCGTTTTTTAACCTTGGTATGATAGTACCGTAGAAGACAAAAACAGCTTTGTAATCGGAAACGTCGTTACACACACATTTTCTCCGATATAGTATGATTAAATTTCATCAGCAGGGAGTTTTCAGGTTTTAGGTTCTTTTATTTCCTCATCGTCTCTTTATGTTATTCGTACTCTTATTTTCCTTGTCCTTATTTAGCTGGCCAATCACTTAGTAGAGATGCTAGACACTGCGCTTACAAAGTACAGAACGTGGCTGGAAAAGAAGTCAGGTGCTAAGATCTCTAGTAGCTGACCGTGAATGCAGGAGACTCGCCGCAATTCAGCATTTTGTGATGCAAGAGTGAAGGGAGGAGAGGGTGGAGTGCGAATAGGCGGCCTTCTTTCGTACATTGGTCACCAAAGTGACACTCAAGATTTTTCCGCCTTGTTCAAGAAAAAAAGCGGATTGAGTTGTGTCTTTCTCTTTACTGGCAACTTGAGATAATTGTTTGCAGATAATTAAAGAACTTCGCTTTGTTTATATTGGGACATTCTTTGACAAAATGTTCCACCTTTTAACGCTGTGACAGTGAAAACCCGATGTCTGAATTGGACTTTGAAAGGTGTTTTTCATCGTTATTCAACCGATTACTGTTTTCATCTGTTTAACATTTTGAATAATGTAAATAATTTCTCCATTTCAATTCCTTTTTGCTAAAAGTAAATTAGAGTAAAAGAACTCTAAAGCCACTTCCGTAAATAGTTGTATTTTTTGCGTCCGAAAGACATGATAAATTCCATACTGTAAATCGTGTGCCTATTTGTACGTTTGGCAACTGAACAGAGTTCCTCACATCATGTGTTTTGGAGTTAAAAGGGGAAATAAAAAATGCTCTTAGTTTTCTTTTGGGTGAGGCAATTTCAACTTGGCGGTCTTGGAACAGCTACCTTGAGATTTCTCTTTCTTGTGACTAGCTTCTAATTTCCCCTACAATATCACCCCAGAATCATACATTAACCCTTTACACCCTAACATTAGTATGCATATTCTCCATACTGTTCTCCTTACCTTTCCTAAGGTGATGACAAGGAGAATTTGTTTACCAATCAAAGCTTCTTTGCATGGTGATCATTTCCTTTTTTCTTGTGACCTTGATGTGTGATTCAGGGGTGATATTGTAAGGAGAAATTAGATGTTAGTCACTATAAGGAGTAAAAGGGCTGAAGTCACTTGATTAAGGGAAATGATCACCAACTAAAGAACCTCTTGATCATAAAACAAATTCTCCTTGTCAGCACCTAAGAAAATGTTTAAAGAATGTTATGGAGAATATGCGTACTGATGTTAGGGTAAAAAGTGTCAAAGAAAAAAAAATTTGTACAAAGGAAACCTTCCACGGCCACATCTTTGTTATCAACAAAATCATCAAATGTTTTTAGCTTTCACACATTGCCCACCAATCAAATATTACCACTTAGGATTAACACTGAACTTAAAATCACCAGTGAGAGCACACAGGATTGAGGAGGATTTTGTGTTCTTTTGTGAACTTAGACCATCTCAGGTTGTCAAAATGAGACATCAATAATTTGGGCATCATGGTATGACAAATAAATAAAATGCAATGTTCTTACTAAAAGGAAATCTTATCAGTAGAGCTCATACTTATCTGCTTGAAAGTAGGTGGGTGAGAAACTAGTGAGGAGGGAAATATAAATCAATTTTGTCACACCTTCACCCTATTTTTCAGGTAATATCCTCTGAGGGAGCCACATCCAGAGGCAATTCTCCTTCTTTCCCCACCCCAAAAAAAACAATCATAACTTCATTTCACTGACTTTATTCTTCGCAAACCGTAGGTGTAATGCCACAGGGTTGTAACTACAAAGCAAAGCATGCCTGAGTAGAAAAATCAACATATTGGCCAAAAAGAATCAGTTGAGGAAGATGACATTGTCAATTTTCATGCATTTGTCGTGACCAGCGACAAAAACACTCCACCATCAAGGTGAAGCACAACCATGCAAGTGTTATCTGACACACCTTACTACTGAATTGCTCTTCATCAAATGTAAAACAAGGAACTTGACTTAAACCTATGAATAGCAGAAACTAACTGAAGTGAGGAGCTTCTAAAGCATAACTTACAGTAGCAACTTAATCACCATTTCTTCACAAATGTTTCTTAACCTTAAACTCCCATGACTGAGTATCATGCAACCTCTCCTTATAATATCCATTCATTATCTCACAGACAGGTGATTAGAATATTCAGACTTATCAGGCAGAAGTTGCAACCTTGATCTTGCACCAAATTCTCAGTAAATAATTTACAAGAAAATGTGTAGCAGCTAGAGGGGAGAAAAAACAATCAGATCATGGGAGTTAAAGGGTACATTTAGTTCAAATCAACAAGCAAGAGTGTCTTTACAATTAAAGCTGATAAGTACATAAATCCCTTTTGTAGAAAATCAATCAGACTGATATCTCAAAGTAGAACTGAAGGCTGACATTAGTTAACCCTACGGTAAACAGAATCATGTTTTGAAAAGATTTTAAACTGGACAGTAACAAATTCTAAAACAGACACCAACTAAGTTGTTGTGAAAGGCATTTCTTTTGCCAAACATAAACTACTGATAGTTAACAAGGTCTAACTGACCAATCTACATAGTACATGTTTACTATCACCAGAATCCCTCAAATTTTGAGCTAATAACTATTATAAATAATATTTACTTCTTAAAACTACATCAACCTTTAAAATTAGTATACATGACTAAACCTTTCACTATCAGGAGAGAACAATATTATTTATTTATTTATTTAATTAATTTTATTGGCATTCTACTGAGTTACAAAAAGTAATAAACGAGAAGTTACACGTACAAAAAAAAAAAAAAAAAAAAAAAAAAAAAAAAAAAAATTGCCAAAAGGGAGTAACGAACGGGACGTGAGTACCCATGCAAGGAAACTCCCTACAGAATAAAAAATAAATAAATATTACAAAGTTTTAAGTCAGTGCGAATGAGTTCTATGGCAGGAACAGTCTATAAACACTGACCAGGTACACGGTTGGTCAATATCGAAAACATTTGCTAATAAATTAAAATAGTGATTAGTGACAAAGTTCTTAAAGGATGAAAGAGTACCTAAGGAAGACGGAGGAGCTACTTTACACATAATATTCCACAGTTTTGTAATTCTATTAAAATATGAGGCCTTAAATAAAGATGTTTTACAGGACTGAGTTTTCAGCAATAATTCCGGATTAAAACAGTTTCTTGTGCGGTTGTGGGGAACAAAATTAACAAAGTTGTTAACGTCAATAGGCGATATTCCGTACAGACAGTTATAAAAAAATATTAAGTCTTTGATCTCTCGGTCATAACAAAGAGGCAACATATTCAACTTAATTAAGCGTTCTTTGTAAGAGGATTCGTGCAGAAACTTATTAGAAACTTATTAGAAACTTATTTAAAAATAATATTGTTACAGTAGTGAAAAATCCTCATTCAAACGACTCACAAACTCAGAGGAAAACAAAACAAATATATAGTTAGGAAGATCTTCTTAAATTTAAAGGAAACCTCCAACCTTGAAGAATTGGGAAACAAGAATTGAAATGTATAAAACCTGTCAACAAATATAAGCAAAACTTGTGCTTGAATTTCCTGGAAGGCACCATTTTGGCACATTTGATGTTATAGCTCTTCTGTCCACAGAGTCCAAGGGGTATCCTGCAGATAACAGTGGCATCCGAAACACACCACACAATTCAACATGGAAACACACACAGAATTCCAGTTTGAAAACTGGCAACATCTTTTTCCAATTTATCTTGCACAAAGTACAGTAGAATCCCACTAACTTGAACTCTACTAAGTCAAACCATTGGGTAACTTGAACAAAACCCCATTTCCCTACCACCAATTTTTAAAGTCATTTACTGTCGGCTAACTCAAACTCCCACTAGCTCTACCTTTTGTTTCCCTTCAAGAAAGTTGAATTTGCTGGGTTCAACTGTAGTTAATTTCTATTTAAGGCAAAAACTTTCAACTTAAAAGATAAGTTTGATAATTAAACAAAAAGTTTGTTCCATCAGTGGAGGTTTCCTTTAAGCCAAACTCAAAGAATTAGCAAAATGCAAGAAATGTATAGCACACAGTAAGGGTGTAAACAATATTAAGTTCCTAAGAGAGAGAGAGATGAGACCTTTACCTAATTAAATTATCATTCAACAGTAGCCAATTTAAAACATACTTGTCTAATGCTAAAAAATAAAACAAACTTTTATTTTTTTAGAATTAAATTAAAATTTGGAGCAACTTTTGTTTCAGGGCTTCTCACAAATATGAACACCACCAATTGGGAAAATATAGTTACTTAATGAAGACAGATCTTTTATCTAAAATACATACAGCTGTACCCGTACAAGATATTTTAAAAAACTAACTTTGATTTATTAAACCCATTGCTTGAAGAAGGTCATCCAATGGTGCAGTTTCCTTTGGATCCAACAAGTTAAATTCTTGGTGATACAAAAAAAAGTTCATCAAAACTGTATTAATGTGAGATTGTAGTCCATGGTTTAATAAGTTGTTGAAGTGTGCATAGTACATGTGGGCCAACACATGAAATAGAAGCTTGAAAATTTTCCGCACTGTTGTCAGAAATGTTGCCGGAAATGTCAGACCTGTTGAGAGAGGATAAAAAGAGGGAAGTATCGATTTAAGATAAAATTCTCACTCTAGAGAACAGTAAGATTTAATTTTTTCATTATTGGTTTTTCTTGTTCTTCAGTTGATCCCTGTAATTTGAACCAAACAATTTCCTTGTATGATCCTGTTGTACTTTACCCTTTAACTCCCAAGATTTGATTATCAATTCTCCCCTCTGGCTCCTCCACTTCCTTTTAAATGAGTTACGAGAGTTAGATGTTAGATTAAGATAAAAACTTCTCATTACCAGTTTGCTTGATAATGTATGGATATTAAAGGGAGAAGTTACATGTTAATCACTTGTGGGAGGAAGGGTCAGTATCACAGGGCAGCAACTTCTTTAAAACAATTAAAAGGGAGAATATTTTCTTTGAGAAGGGAACATTTGTGAATGCAGAGTTGTATCTTGAAAGCAAAATGCAAACCAGTGAGAAATATAAAGAGAATTAATTAAAGGGAAAATTAATACCTTAGGCATAACTGTAAATTTGTCTAAAAATTTGACAAATATTTGATTTTTTAACATGCCCTTTAATTATTACATCACATGTAGTTTGTCAGTCACCTTACCAAATTATTGATACAGACAAGAAGGCCTATTCCCACATACATCCTCCTCAATCCTGTTAGCTTACTATGGTCATGGCATTTCAAACATGGTGTATATGCCACAAGTGTTCCATTTCCTTGACTAATTACTTTATAATAGTGTTTATATGTTGAGGAAATGGTTGGGTTGAAATATAATACAAAGACTTGCCAGTAAATAGTTTTATTACAGTTTTTATTCAGTGTAACATAGGGCTGGAAAATAAACTAATAAGAGCTCCGCTTTTAGGCTTGGCTAAATCTATATATTACATGGTACAACCCATTTATTATTGGCTATCATTGGCTAATTGTGACTTTTATATGTACTTTGTTTTTAGGCCACTGCTAGTAACATTTATTACTAACATAATATCATCAGCATGCCTATTCTTTATAATGTTCTTCATACATTTAAGGTGTCGAAAATGAGAATTTGTTTAACCCTTTAACTCCCAGATCAAGTTTGTAATTCTCCTTAATGTCAACCATATAATTTTTATAATGCTAGTTCAGAGAATTTAGTATTGGATCAACTAATTATCCCATAATTGATATTTTTCTCTATTCTCATCAGTAATCTGGTTGATATTGTATTGATATTGTAAGGAGAAATTCTGTCTTGGTCACTCATGGGAGTTAAAGGATTAACAAGACATGGTTTCTTTAGCTGTTGATCATTTCCTTTAATCTCATGACCTTCATGTTTGATTCAACAGCGATACTGTAAGGAGAAATAAAATGTCAATCACCCTAATGGGTTAAAGGATTACACTTACCATATTTTGTTGGAAACACAGCATCATCATGAAGATACTTGTGACTACATGTCAAAACCAAATCAATGTACTGAGGTGCAGAAACATTTGTTTTGGTAGTTTTCTTTCCTTTGTCATCATGCCAAAAGTAAGTTCTAAAAATCAATTGAGATGATTAGAATTTTTTTATGTGTAGTATGATCATTCAAGAGAGAGTGATACTTAAAAATACTGTTGTCAGTTGATGTGATCCGTGTTTCATTAACATGAGCAGGAGTCATTGTCAGATATACGTAAGGAGTTGCTTGTCAGTCAAATATCATCATAAGTCTAGTTCCTGAAAACTAATATTATTGGTCAGTTTTGCAGTGATGCTGTTGGTTGTAAGACTCTTGAAAAGCTGCCTAGGTGAGTTGTGATTAATAAGTTGGTTCTGACCTGCTGGTAAGGTAGTACTTAAGTTAGGTCATTCTGTTTAGTTCATAGAAAATGAATGGTCATAAATGTAGTTTTTCAATGACAGAAAAATACTACAGTTATGCAATAATTATTGATACAGTACATATACGACATAAAGACTTTGATTTGAATTCAAAAGATTCATCTAACTTACACAGAGCCAGGTGCTGACATGGTAGGACAGGTTGTTGTGGTACATCTCTCACTGACACTTCCATACAATAAGTCAATTTGGTTAAAGAAGGCTAAAGCTACAAAGAGGATGGAAAAATATACATTTCTATTTCCTAGTTCATCTGCAAATTAAACAGCATTATTAACTGAAACAGGTCATTAAGGGACAAACATATGACAACTGGTAGCTCCCATTTCACAGACCTCTGAAAAATAGTTATCCTAATGAGAACTCTGTTAAGTGCATCTACAGGTAAACAATCCTCATAGTCCTTGTTTTGGAGTGAAAATTCTATCATTGCTGAACTGAACATGACTGATGGATAGGGTTGGTGGAGATACAATGTAATTTACAGCTGTAATCAAAAGAATTGGAGTTTATAAGGCCAACCATATGGAAGAGATCTACAATGTTTCAAATTACTGTCAACCAAAGAAAACTGCAAACTGTAACATCGAGATATGTTATGGATGTTTGATGTGTGATCGAAAATCACACATGATCAGAACAATCGAAAAAACCAGGAAACCACAAACTTATAAAGTTTACTGCTTGGAGTTAAGTTTTCTCAAATCTGATGAGCTTGTTCTTCTCAATTTCAGAAATAAAAGTTTTCCTGTAGTTATCTCAGAGGTTCACCCTTCAATCAAAGCACAATCTACAGTCATACTAACTGTTTGATGCCAGCCATTCATTAAGGTCAATACTTGGTGGGAGAGGCACAAGTTCTCTGACTTCTGATATTTCTCTGATAAAACTTTTAACATATTCCTCTTCTAAGTATGGTTTGTTCTCTTTTACTTCTGGTTCAGCAGGCTTTTTCTTCCCCTTCCTTAACATGAGGAGAAAAATTTGAAGTTAACTACAACACATCTACTATGTTTAATTTATACCATGATCCCAAAGGCTCTGGATAATAATAAACAACAAAACTGCAAAAGGTCTGCAAGAAAGCTGCTCCTGGACTTAAATTTTTTACCTCCCAAGGGCAGATTCTCAATTCTCTCCTCTGGCTGCTACACATTTCTTTGTAAAATCAGTTATGAGAATTTGGTGTTAGATCAAAATAATGTAGAGATATTATAGAGAGAAGTTAATACCTCTTTCTTACTTCTGGACATTTACACTGTCACTAAAATTTTTAAAAATTTTGTTCTTTTGCTCTTCAGTTAGAGAAAGTATTTAAGTCTAATTTGCTGAAAAAAATCATTGATTTGCTCATGAAATTGTTAAGTCAATTGGTCAGAGAAATTTACATTTGTCAGGGAAATTAGAGGTATCTCAAAAATCTGACAGTGGCCACTATTATGGTAGGGGGTGTTTTGATACCAAACCTTCTACTGCTCAGTTTCATTCCCTGTATCTCTTTTAACATGTAAAGAAGCCCTGCATAAACTAAGCATCAAGATTGCTTGTCAGTTCCTCATTAAAATAGGTATAGTTGGATGGAATACTCTGAAGGTTGTCTCGATTTCTTAAATTCCTAGTAAAATTAATCACTGCTGGTTATTTAGTTATAAGAGAAACATGACCAGCAGTTGATATCAAGCAATTTCTAAGTATTCTGAGTCAGCAAAAAACCAAGCATGAGATACGAGATTTATAAATCTCCTCCTATTTTAGATTCTAAAGGTTTTCTCAATTTATGAAAACTCTCAGAAAAATTTGCCACTACTGGTCATTACATCATTTAAGATCATGTACTCAAAAATTTCTTTTCCAGCATGAGGTGATTAGAATCTCAATTATAAACTTCATTTCTTTTGTTCTACATTGCCACAGTCTTTAGAGTGCAGAGTTATCAGTGAAAATGGACAATTCGGAAAGAAAAGAAGCAGTTATAAGACATCATCTGAAGCACATACTTGAGCAGCCATTTGGAATTTTTGTTATCCATTTCAAACCATGTGACCATGTAGCTAAAAAGGTCTATAACTCCTTCAGTGTTGAAAAATGGTTGAAATATTTTATAGCAGAAAGGGAAAAATTTCAATACACCAAAAGTAAAAAGTGAAGCAAAAATGAAAAAGTAAAGATGAGTCACAGTAAAAATTCAAAGGCTTTTGATGTCTCCTAAGAATTTAACGAACTTAGTATTAAACCATTTCTTACATTTAGATCAATATATGCATGATGCACGCTGGAATTAATAAGAAAATTTTAAACCAGCACACTCTGATTACAGCTAAAGCTCAACATCATTATGCAATTATATAATTTGAATATTTTGTAACATTAGCACATAATAAAAGTGAAATAATAATGATCGCACAAAATATTAACAGTACATTAAGAGAAAATCCTAATGTACATATCAAAGATAAATTATTCAATATCCATTATCCAATATTTTCTAAACTTATTGTATACAAGTAAGTGTTCCTGTATTTTTCATAAATTTGATTCCCATTATAACTTCACAAAGATTAATTATCTACCTTTACCTTTGCTAGTTTATAAACAAAAACCCTTTCAAGATTATGAAACATGAATTAGTGTTTTGTTTGTTTCAAACAATGCACACTGGACTGCTACACAGCAATTACTGGATTTTTGGAATTCTTTTCTTTCTTTTTGTCTTTTCAACTACATCATTGTTGTGATGACATTTCCTCAAAAAGCCTCAAAGGATGATGCTACCCCCAACCAAAAACAAGGAAAAAACAGTGAAAATACATATAAATTAGACATACATTGTAAAATATAGCTGTTATTTCATAGTCAGAACTGATCCCTACCCATGTTTACTAAACTTACGATGCATGTCTAATTTAAGAGGCATAATTTGCATGTATATATCAGTTCTACATTAAAATATAGAACTGATGTATTTGTGAATTATGTCACCTGAATTTTAATGTTACCGCCGCATTCGCTCCTTGTTGGAAGAAAAGCATGCAAATCATTTCGAAACAGAAGCTAACATGCATTTTTCTTGTTTCAAAACAGACAGACGTTTATCGCACCTGTATATTTTGTCTTACTTAAATATCGCTACAATTTAAGTTTTTAGGCTCTCCATCACTTCCAAGAGAGAATAGGATGTCCGGGAAAAAAACAAGACAATATTTAAGCCACACAACAAAAAAATGGATTCAAAACTGACTTAAAACAAATCTCTATATTCACTAAGACAGTCCAATCGGAAGAAAAGGTTCACATGGCGATATTTGGTAAATTGATACGGACTGTAACGATATTCGTGCTCAATACTAAGTGAACGAGTCATCGAGCCGCCGCGCCACACAATTATGCGCTTTCTTGAGGTCTTTCCGCCCAAATTTTTCTTAGCAATTTCCTGTCATTTGATTTAATAACAAGTAAACACTATTTCAGTTTCTTTGTTTCATAATTATTGTACAGACCGCACCCAACATGACCGCGGAAGAAAAGTAAAGAAGACACGAGATCACAACACAACACCGGCTTATAACTCACCCCATCAACCAGTCCATGTTTCTGGAGAGCTGAACGGGCAGTTTTATATAGTTCACACATTTGAAGAGTCTTCCAGCCAAATGTGTTTGCTACATTGCTTTAAACAGTGAGATAAATGGCTGTAAGACTTCGTAAACTTTTTGTTTGTAAAAGGAAAATAATCAGAGAAATTTCTCGTCGAGTATACTGGGAACCAGGCTCTTGGCTATAAAATGAAGAGGTTTCCGCTGGCTCGATACAATGAGGCGGCGCATTATTTCTTACTTGTTGTCCTGAAGTGCTGAAGTGGGTTAAGCTTTTGCAGAAGTCGTGTCGAGGGGTCAGGCAGTTTTCAACTTTTCAAAGTTTTTTCGGTTGAACCGAGTTATTCCCAATAGTAAGTTATCGCAGCTTTCCCTAATTTCGGGCCTAAAGGTATAGTTGTATGAGGAACGGAGGCTTTGAAAGCCAGCGTATCGGATGAATTAGCCCATGCGTGCAGGTGAGATAAAATCATCCATATTGAGAAACAACTAGCCACATGTGAATGATAAAGTCTTTTTAACTCTATTGAATTTGTTATATCTTGAGACCACTGCACCTCCAAAGCCGCTAAATAGCCCGCTTAGTTACTCAGACTGTAGCTACATGTATTTGTGAAAAACTTGAAGCTGTAATAATCTTATCGCAACGGTTCGTAATTATCGGTTCGTTAGCAGGACTTGTTTTACACCGCTACAATACCTCCAGCAATGCTTCTCTACGTGCTGAAACTTGTTTCGAGGGCTACTTTTGGCTTTATTAAACGTTCCAACTGTTATTTAATTTTACTGAATTCTCTCTTTTTTTGTACTGTTAATCCTATCGTGACTCGCTTGGTCAAGCTTGTACATGTCGCTGTTAAAAAAACACATCCGCATTCTTGCAGAATGTCGGTGATATATCGAGGGAAACACTTCGCCGCTTTCTCAGTTTACTCTGAAAACAAAAGGAAAACAATTGAACTCTTTTCTATTTTCATAATTTGTAGCTGGATTTCATGAAGACGTGATAATTTCAATATAAGAGTCTCATTTGTTGATACAGTACTAATCCTCTTCAGTGAAGTATTAATTGAGAAGGAGCTGGTAAGCTGTGGTTGTTGTCAGGAGAGGGTTATCTTTTTCCAGCACAGGGACTCCACTTTGAAAATGAGTCTTAATTTTTTTTAAAAGGTTAGCTCATTACATCTGGTGTCAATTTTACGAAGTGTTGAGCTATTTTTGAAGACAATGAACATTTTCCTAAAGCTAGGACTTTGTCCTGGTTACATGTCTACATCACATTCATTCCCACTAGCTGTCACATGCAAATGTAAAGGTCAAATGAGTGTTAAATGTTACAGGAGGTGGTTCAGACAAAAGAAGTGATTATTATGTAATTGTTGTGACTTTAACCCTCTGGTTGTGATCATAATAGGAAAAGAGACTGCCTACACTGTATTATTTCACATAAAGCCTATTTTCAGCACTCTCTTAAGAAAATTTAATTTTTTTGATGATATAGAAAATAATTTGTTGAAAACTGTACGTTATTTTCAGTGATTAAGTAATTGTTGTGGTCTTCACTGGTGTCCTGTTGTTAGCAGCACATGTTAGCTACATGCTATTGCTTTCTTTACCAAGACATTATTGTCTGTGTGGCTTTCAGTCTCTGTCTTCAATTTCTCATGTAACTTGAATAGTTTTATATTTTAGTTTAAGAATAGGCATTTTCTTACCAACCATTTAGAACTACTTCATTTAAAGGCTGCCTTGAGATTATTTATCTTTTCAATCTGGTCCTGTATCAGATTGATAGCATTTTTGCATGAGACTCTAAAATATTGTGCCCTAAATTGTTGACTGATGAGTGATATAAACATGTATGTAGTCATCTAGCTATATAAGATACTGTATTATGTAATCTTTAATTCAGAGCAGGAAAAAGTTTTTATTTAGTAGTGATTGTGTTTTACAATCAATTTTTATTGTATCAGAGCTCAAAGCTTAAAGCCCCTGCTCTTTTCATCTCAAGATTCAGTTTGTGAGGACAAGAAAAAACACATTTTAAAACCAGATGCGGAACTTTCCTGGTTATTAGAACCTCTGCCCCACTCTCAGTTGGATACCACATTTCAACTAGACATTGTGTTTATAAACACTCAATTTTCACCCTCAATACCGGTTTATATGATTCTTGTGTTATAAATTGTTTGCAGTGTCTGGAGGGAGTATTATCAGAGAGGAGGTTGTGCTGTGAATAAGTCTGAGCTGGTGCCAAACACTTTGAAGCCAGAATGTCAGAAGCAAAGGATCTGTTGTCTATAAGTGACTTTTATGCACAGAAAACAGTATTTATTACTGGGGCTACTGGATTTCTTGGTAAAGTCGTGATAGAAAAACTTTTAAGGGCATGTCCTCATGTGAAAAAGATTTATCTTCTGGCAAGAAGCCGACGTGGTGTTAGCCCCCAACAGAGAATTGATGACTTGTTAGATGGAATGGTAGGTTTTTCTTATGACTCTTCTTTTTTTTACTATATTTCTGATGTCATTAACTTTAAAGTTGATTCTCATAAGAGATTCAGTTCAGAGCTATCATCAAAAGTTAAATGCTGATAAACTTTTATGGAAAAACTGCTCACTCTTTTCACCACTTGAGACACTTTTGCTCACCACACAGTTATATTGTAATTGCGATTTACAGTACTTATCATTTTCAGATGCTGCAACGGCTTTTCCTAATTATGGCTGTTTTTTTATCTCATTTTATGGATAGAAACTGTGATTTAATTAGCTCTGTAACTATTATGTAACTATGTATCTGTTATGTAGAGATGAAGTTCTGTTGAAAGAGGATAGTAAATAGATAAGAGAGGATTCTCTACTTTGAGGCCATTAGTTTTAGCTGGGAAATTCTTGATATTTGCGTGATAATCCTCAAATCTCCTGAAGCCAAAAAACACCTGGTTATGTAACTATCAATTGTTACAATTCTGTATTGATATATGCGGTATGTTTAATTAGAGTAAAAATTTTTAGTTAGGTCAATAACAAATTGTAAATTTATATCTCCTTTATAGCTCTATGACAGAGTAAGAGACATGGGTGGTGACTGGAGAAGCAAACTTGTACCCATCAAGGGGGACATTGCTGAAGATAAACTTGGAATGTCAGATGAGGATTGGAAAACGCTTCAAGAAAATGTTGAAATTGTATTCCACTCTGCGGCAACAGTCAGATTTGATGAAGATCTAAAGTAAGCATCAGGAATTGAATTTAGTTGCCAAAACAACCAAGCCATGCTCACTTTTTACATTTTCATCTTATTTTTATTCCAGTTATATTACTTAAACATGCTGCATTGTTAAGAACTCGAATTTAATCCCCTTTTCAATTTTGCATGTCTGTATATAAGTGCTCCTGATATCTTTCCATAGGGATGCAATGACTTTGAATTTATATGGAACTCAAAATGTCATTGGGTTGTGCCGTGGGATGAAACGTCTTGAGGTGAGAATTTTTAGATTTTTCAGGTGGGCAGTGTTCTTCAGAATTGATGGCATGGAAAATCAAAGCAAGGAAACTAGAATGAGACTAATTTCTCAAATGTTAGGTTACAGTCAAAACAATAAAAAAAAGTAGCTAATGTTTCTTTTTTTTTTCTTTTTTGCTTTTTTAGAAAGCACAATATTTTACATCTTTCAGTAATGTGTGTGGGTTATTTTGTCTGATCCAAACCTGGGGGTTTTAATTGGAAGATGAGAAACTTGTTTGATTAAGAACAAGGCAGCAAAAGAGTTTAAATGATTTGATTTATGTAGATAGTAGAGTAATATTATGTGTATTAGTTCTTTTGAAGACTCCTATAGCCATGTTGTTCACATACTTTTGGCCTAATAAATTGACCCTGTTACACCCTCCTCTCCTTACCAAAAGAATATTAAAAAGTTTCTCTTTAAATTTCAGATTTGCTTATCAAGAATCCTGTTAGAACTAACTTCAGATGAAGTTACATCAAGCGCAATTTTAATCTTTTATTTATCTACTAGGGGGGAGGTCTAATTGTAAAGTTTGCATCAATTTGAATTAATAATACATAACATACATGTAATACTATATACAAATATCTCTTATTTACATTTTCCATAATTTTTTCTTCAGGTCTTGGTTCATGTATCCACAGCATATGCTAACTGTGACAGGGAAGTCATTGATGAAAGGATATACCCTCCTTCAGTAGACCCTGACAAGCTTTCCTCATCTATCGGGTAACAAAGTGACAAAGATTTCTATGTACATTATTCATGTAGCATATGATGTATATTCAAAGATGTTTCCTCCACACAAACACATGCATGCTGAACAAAGATATTCATAATTACCTCTTTAGGTTATGTTCTTGTGCTAGGCTCTTGCAAAAGTAATTCTTTAGATGCAATCTTTTTTATTGTAATCAGCTGGATGAATGATGACATGGTGAATTCTCTAACACCACATTTGATTGGCAAGCGACCCAACACATACACTTTCACCAAAAGTCTGGCTGAGCATGTCTTACTTCAAGAGGCTGACAACATCCCAATAGCAATTTTCAGGCCTTCAATCATTGGTGCAGCTTGGAAAGAACCCTTGGAAGTGAGTTGTGTCATGCTTTTCTGTTAACCACCTAATAAAAACTTCTGTCAAGTACTTGCACTACATGCAAACACACATTACTTTGTACTGGTCATTTAAAAGATTAATTTGCTGATATGTTCTTGCAGACATTCTGAAACAGGTCAGACATACCCTCAATAACTTACTTTAATGAATCAATAAATAATTAAAGGATATTTTGATTTGCAAATTCAGTTGTTGCAGCAGTGTTTGTGTGTGTCAAAAATCTGGAAACTGTATAGATAATGTAATTCCCCTTATATTATAATGATTTACAATTTCTCCAGCAGCAAAAAAATCCCTGCATTTGATGGTAAATTTTTTTTTTCAGGGTTGGGTGGACAATTTCAACGGACCTAGTGGTCTTTTTGTTGCTGTGAGTTGTTGCTTTTGATTTCTTTTCCTTCATTTTATGTACAATGTACCCTCTGCTCATGCTGCTACTCAGTGTGCAATGCCATAAATCTAGAATTTTAAGGACACAAAGGTCATACTGTTCTTTCATCCAAAGGCATGTTTCTGTATATCATATTTAA